AGACTAAAATTGTAGAAGGAGTAGCGTTTTAAAGGAATTTCACAGAAAATTCTATTTTTAGTAACCATGGCAACACCGTTCATCGAAATCAAAAACCGATGCACTATTCTATGTATCTTAGTGTAGTCTACTTGTGTGCCAAGTTATATTGAAATCAGACCAAAACTGTAGAAGGAGTAGCATTTTAAAGGAATTTCACAGAAAATTCTATTTTTAGTAACCATGGCAACACCGTTCATTGAAATTAAAAACCGATGCACTATTCTATGTATCCTAGTGTAGTCTACTTGTGTGCCAAGTAATATTGAAATCAGACCAAAACTGTGGAAGGAGTAGTGTTTTAAAGGAATTTCACAGAGAATTCTATTTTTAGTAACCATGGCAACACCGATCACCGAAATCAAAAACCGATGCACTATTCTATGTATCTTAGTGTAGTCTACTTGTGTGCCAAGTAATATTGAAATCAGACTAAAATTGTAGGAGGAGTAGCATTTTGAAAAATTGTTTACAGACAGACGGACAGACAGACGGACAGACAGACAGACAGACAGACAGACGGACGGACGACGGACGCATTACTATCGCATAAGCTCTTCTGGTCTCTGACCAGTAGAGCTAAAAAATGACAGTGTCCATAGAATGATATGGGAAACTCCTATTATCTGCCCAATCAGAATGTAAAACAAGAGGTACATAAATGACTAAATGAAAGAAAACCTTTTTGTGAAAATATTGTTAAATTTTATTCATTGGCAAAAGAGGAGTTACAGATTAGGAATGACTACCCTCCAGTGTTATCCATAGAAGGACATACAGACAGACACCCCCCATCACTGTATAACCACTATTTTTTTTATATTTACGGTTTTTACTCTGACTACTTTGTAGGGGATCTATAGATTTGACCTCTGGCTACTACCCTGTTTTCTTCCTAACTAAGAACAATTGTAAGGAAGTCCTGTGGATCTCTTTCCTTATATCGAGTAAACCTCAGTACTTATATCACTGACACTTCAATATCCTATCTATAAAAATACTACTCTGTGTGTTAAAGTTATAAAAGTATGAAGAGATATATGATGTAATAATCAAATGTAAATTGTGTTTACAGAAGTACTCTATCTACTCTCAAAATCCTGTATACCATTCATAACTTCCTTTACTTAAACAGCCCGTAAAAATATTTTTAAGACAACATAAATCTGAATGATTAATTTCTCATAAAATCCAAGAATTTTCTATGAGTTAATGCTTGTTTGGAATGTAATTAATGCATGATTTATGCAAAAAATATACATGTGTACTTTAAGTATCTAACCCCCCACAAGAGATGCAGACATCCAAGCTTGCTGAATGGGCAAAATTTGTTGTCACATATAAATTTAATTACAAACGTTTCCAAGTGTCCCTACCAACTGTACCGTACATGTTTCCCTCCATTATTTCCCTCCCAAACTTGTACTTCTCGGTTTGGTCATGTTAGTCATTATGTCAAGTCAAGACTAGTCACGGTTCAACTGACACGTCATTAGAGAAGGCCGGTGGAGGGCCACTGTTCTAATTTTATTCCATTGAAATTCTGTTAATTTTATGTACTATCAGTTTAGAACAATGAGGACATTTGTGCAGAAAGAATGGCTTTACATTGTCGTCCACTGACTTCTAAACAATAACCCAGTCTAGCTCAATTCACCTCCTCTTTGTTTGATTTGTTGCTAATGGATATCTTTTAGATTAAGATTTTTAAAATTTAAATGTACAATATACATTTATTATCAAACTGAAAAATCTTGTCATTGAACAATTTAATGATCAGAAAATAGCAAGATCAATAGTTCTTATATTGAAATGACACCCCATGAATTTGAACAGTCGTACAGACGTAGCTAAATAGCATTCAGCACTCGGAAAAAACTTCAATCAATGAGCAATTTAAATTCTTATCCTATGAACTAACCCTCTAAACTTCTCTCAAACCAGGTGACAATTCAAAGATCCTAAATTTTACTTTAATACACATGTTACAACTTGATATTTAAATAAGCTAAATTAGGTAGGGGTTATTAATCTATCAAGTGATCGATCTTTGAAGAAAATCAAAATTATCTATTCCCAAACATGCAAACTAAGAACTGTTTTCTGAATAAAACCTCCAAAACCTATGAATTGGTGACTTCTCTCACATAAGAAAAGATACCACCAGCTGTGTTCACACTGTTAATTATGTGAACACCCAATGGTACCTTCACCCACATGAGTAAACCCTCTCTAGTCCAATGCTAGGTACTAAATAGACAAAATATCACTTTCTTTTTGCTAACATGAATTGACTTTCATTTAATCAATGTACAATGTCTCTCTCTCTCTAAAAGCACAGGTTCCAACAAGTAGACCAAATCATAACTTTAAATTATTAAACAGAGTACCTACATTTATGTACAAATTGTCTACATGCCAAAAAACCTGATGCTGTATGTACATATGAATGGCAACACAATGCCCTCTACATAGATCATTCACCTTTGCTTTATTTAAAGAATTGTAGTCCGACTTAAATGAGCCATTTAATGATGTTTTATAATAATCAGTCCTATCTCTGATGTTGCAAAAACCTGAACCTGTATAACCTGTATACATGTGAGCAGACACATGTAAAGTACAACACTCATGTGTCTTCACTGCACTGACTTCACTTTAGCAAGTGTGTGCACAAAATATCTGGGAATCTTCCACCTCCTCCTCAGCAGCAGCAATAGCATCACAGAGAACAAGATACCACCAGCTGTGTTCATAGTGTACTCCTCTACAAACACACAATGGTACCTTACCCTCCACAAGCTGTTCTACACAGTCACTGGATAATCCGTAGGTCATCGTCCCCTGGACTTCATAACTAATCCTCAGTAAAAAAAGGTTATTGACTGCAAGACATTGAAAACCCTTCTAAATTACTACCGAGAACGAAATGAGGCATGCTGTTCACATAATACAAGAAATTCTGCATAAAAACATCACCTGATACTTATATGCATGGGGAAACCAGTGGTATAAATAGCCATAGTTGTATACCTGGAAACAAAATGCCAAACTAACCTACTTCAATGTGAAATGTGACCCTATTTACTGCCATCATTGCGCTATATGTATTATGTAACAAAGGATTCAGATTCATAACAGACAAATAGGTAGGTTTAAGATGGTGACTAAGTACCAGAAAAAAAAATAACCACAGAACACAACAGGCAAAGCGTCTCACCAAGCAGTCTCGAATGACGAGAACCATTTTACTTTGTAACTCAGCGTCTTCCTTACACACTGCCAAACTTATCTGAATCACTGATCCACATCAATAAAGCAACATCAAAAATAAGCTCCACTGTAGAGATACAGTTTTAAGTTACATCAGCACAATTTTGATCCAAAAATAGCCAACATTCCTCCTTCACAATTCCTTGAATGGTAAAAGGTCGAGCAGAGCAGAAGTCCCCATCCTACAAATGTCAACCACCTGGCATTTTATCAACAAACTCTCAAATGCATTCCCTGCTCCATTCAGTTTACAATGTCGCTAAATTATTGTATTTTTAGTGTACAGTGTTTTCCCTCTCTATAAATAGGATTTTCCTAAATCTTTTTAATGTATTCAGGAATTTGACACCTGATTTTATGAAGTGTTTTCTACTTTCTTTGTGTATGTAAGTAGAGAGGCACACCTGCTATGTATATTGTACATATGTATGGTGCGTTTTCTCTCGGACATAAAACATTTATCATCACTTCCCTAACATTCCTTCCAAGGTTCAGTCTAACCCTTGTAATACTCCCCACTTATTAGCTTACCTTTCAATTTTGAACCGTCACAAGATAATGACTGTGAATACTTAGTGTGTTAGACAGCAAGGTCAGGTAAATGTGCCGGCCTTATCTACCTGTTAAACAGTTCTTTGTATATGTATTGTCTACATACGAGTGGGCATTTTCCCTAAATTCATTAACAGCCTATGATTAACCATAGCATTATACAAACCTGAGGAGAATAACCGAGGATGAGCTACCTATCCAAGCTTAGTGGCTTTGGTATGCCACTTTTCTGAGTTTGGTTTGTGTGTGCCTAAGTATATATTTCCCACAAAGTATTCATTCAAGTCCTGACTTGGCAGCCCAATCCAATCAATTGTTTAACAGGCTTTACAAATCGATTTTTTTCTCTCTATTGAAACAGGTCCTTTTACAACCCATGCATGCATATTTATAGATTCTTTTTAAATATGTATATACTTCTAAACCACCCGTTAAATCTTAATAATGTAACAATTTGTAATTCCCACATTTAAAGCTACTTCTGATTTCATCACTACAATAACAAGACCTTTAATACAGTTATGGTAGACTTTCTTTCACAGAGTCATTCTTTCATTACACTTATCTGACCTTTAACCTTATTGGGTCAATATTAAAATATCACAACCGGGCAAGTGTAGTCTTGCAGTACAAAATGGAGCAGGAAATTTGCCTGCACACTGCTGCAAGTTGTTTCTTGGAACAAGACACCTTAGGAACTTATTCTTTCTGTTTGTTCACAGCGTGGAAAAGTTCTCATTTATTTATCTCTATCATCTGGATTTATGATCCATTCCAAGTGCATCAAAGCTATACTTTTTATGAGTCTAAATCAATGCAACTAGTTAGTAAAACACATCCTATTTAACAATTAGCTTTCAGAGACCATTACCAAGTATCACATGCATTCAATCACCCACACTCATGCATCCCATTAAATATATTATCTGTGAACATGCTATTTAATGTTTATATGTAAAAAGCACACCAAGAATAAACATGGGATGTTCTACCAAAGAAAGAAAAACTAATAGTAACACGCCAAATACTGTGCAACCCATAGCAAACTGTTTGCAGGTGCCCTGTATTTAACATGTCCTTCTACAGAATGAAGGGATAACAGAGGGACACACACAACACTCAGTGCCATTACTTACAGTCGACTGGAGTCTGGGCCCGTATCATCTCCCTCGATGCGGTACACCTTTCCGTGCATGACGTACTCAAAACTGTCGGCCCTGGAGGGCCCTGTGTCAGTGGGGTTGTATTCACCATCATCCGGAGTCCCATCTTCCCTCAGGGTTTTGGCCAGAACCATTCGGAATTTGTCCCCTGGAAAAAATTTGTAATATTTTTCTTCATTACGCAAGTTAAATGAAGAATACTTTAAAAAGCAGAAATCTGAATAGGTTATTGGATATTGGATAAGTATTTAGAACGTGGGCATAACACAAAAGTGGTACAGTACAAGTTTAAACACATCTATTTTCATGGAAATTATCACTTATTATAAAATTCAAAATAGTTCGATACTGATATTTTTCACAGAAATTTGTTTCATATATTTTCTCTTTTGAGACTGATAATTTCAATTAAGATATAAGTTAAGTTCCTACACCTGGTCTAATTATACAGGTCTCTTACATACTGATCTCTTTAACAATACTAAAATCACATGAATCAAAGTTTTCCCCTATGAATTATTTAGACCACTGTGTTAGGGTGTGTACTGTCAATAAGGTCAGTTTTCTGATAAAATATATAGTACAGTTAAGATAGGTGTTCCCTGTCCATTTTGCACCTGTATGACAACGCTACAGGCATGTTTCGACTTATCACTCGGGCTGCTCTACCTGTGCGAATTATTATAAATCATAGGTAAATACTGGTGTTTAAACTCTCTACTGCAGACAAGTGAAATCTGGAAGTCAATCTCCACTGCACAGTTCGGTATTCATTACAGATAAATTTTCCAAAAGGCTGTTTTTACAGGACTAAACACGCCTATACAGTTATTTAATTTTATCAATATCTATCAAATTCTGAAGAAATCCTTTAAACTGTAATCAATTTTTATGATGTAATATATAAAGAAAAATGCATTTTGCATTTGTGTGAATGTTTTTTTCACTTTTCTGCATTAAGCATGTCCTGTTGAATGAAGTAGTATTAAGAATGAATGATAACTCTACAGCAAGACATCTGGGACTGTATGCCATGGGGGCATGTCCCTTTTTTCATTTACCTCAATGAAAGATGAGACTTGAAAGCAATAAATATACCAACTCTTTAACAGATATACGTCTTACCAGCATAGGTTGTGCCATCCTGATCAATAATTAATTCCGTTAAAATCTTCATCAAGTATGTGCATAGCAGGAAACAACACAAGGATCTTTTTCTATGCTTAAGTTAACATTTCACATGAGATTTACTTCCCTTATCAAACAATGTTTGGCAATACATGATGCATATCCTACTTTATATTAAGATACTACTATCAAATTTTCTCTAGTGTGAAGAGGAATGAAACAAGAATGAAATGCCTCCCAATGACATCACTCCTGATGGAGGGGGCAGTGACTTACCCAAGTCTACTGGGTACATCTGTGTGTTGACATCTAAGATCAAATCCATTTTGAAGGATTCAGACTCACAAAAAAGTCTTGATACTACAAAGAAAGAAACAAAGGGGATCTCATCAATTGAAATTAAACTCATATTATGTTTCAGCAAAAATGACCTTTGTGCTCAGAAATAAATATTTAAGTCTTTGTGTAGTCATTGTCACTTAGTTTATGCTCACATTTAAAATGTCAATATACTGTTTCTTTTGTACAAACTTCTGTCTTTAAATATACATGTACAAAAAGCAAATGCATTTACCTGGCAGTATGCCAGTAAAATTATATTCTAAGGAGCATTTATTACATGCACATTAGTTAAGTTTGGTCCTAAATACTGTGCCATTGTGAACTCCTGCCAAATCAAACACTCCCTGGTGATCTATTATACCTGACTCTTAAACTCAGAAAATTTTGAAACCAGACTATAATGCAAATGATATAGTCTTTACAGAACAAGATTTGATTTGTTCAAAATATTTTGCCAAGCGATAGAGATTTTTTAAAAAATTTCAAATTAAGAATATGAGCAGAAAACTTATCATATCTGGTAATCATGACCCCCTGCAATACATTTAACATCTGTGCCAATATCAGTGTAAAAAGCAATGAATAGTTTCACTTGAAAATACCATTCATATCATACAAAGCATAACCAATGTATCAATTTGCAATTCAGTTTAAGTATTTTATTTTAGTGAATACAGTGCTAGATTTCTGAAATATAAATATTTATCAGCATCAGTACCCAAATACAAACTCGATAATAAACTCAATATTAAATGGAGCTCCATATCAATAAATTTTCAAACATTTCTTTTGTATCAAGTGTGGGTCTTTCTATTTTTCATTTTTCAAAAACTATAATATCAAACTGATAACATAAGTTAATTAGTCTGTAGTTCTTTATCTCAGAGCAACTTGTGTGTATGATGTTTGTGTAATCTTGTCCTAGGCAACAGAGTACAAGAACTGACATGTGTATCTTTCAAAATTAATTTGCAAACAGATACCATCCTGTTTCTTCTATTCCTTATACATATGCTAAAGTATATGAAATGACATTATTTACAAAAAAATTATAACTTATGCACAATAAAAAAAACAATCAACTTGCAACTCATAAAGGGGTGGATGTGTACATGCTGCAGCCTGTTCTTCATAGTTTGCATACCAGTAATTTCAGTAACTGTTTTACAGTTTCTAATTATTTAATATGCAATCAGAACTCCCTCGGCATTATCCCTCTATACAAATACATGAGCAAACCACATGAATTAATGGCTTTTGCACTTATCTCTACTTATCTTTTAAAACGATAAAAGTATAAATTGACATGCCCTTACATGATATATCAGGTCAAACTCCATCGAGAGTCCTGTCCACAATTCAGACCTATCAGCCAGTGAATCCAGTGTGCATTTCTATCCTGATTTATATCACAATTACTACCTTCAAATATAATACTTTGCTCTTCCATCCTCTGCAGTTCTGCCATAAATTCTTGTACTGATGTGTTTCATTCTCAATGAAGACGAGCCAGGTCTACAGGGGGTTTTATTATCCTTTTAACATACACAGCCAATCATACGTTTGTAAATCTGACATGTCAAAACATGTTTTGATTTTACCGGGTATGTGTTAAATAAAAATCGTAAAGCTAACATACCTTACCAATAATTAATTACTGTGCATCTCTAAAATGCGCATGACAGTGGAATATGAATAGTAAAATAGACAAGAGACCTAACTTTCCAGATAATATCGCATTACTCGTGCGGTCATGCTGGGTCATGCAAGGAGGTCGCCATATTTGACGGCACCGGTGTATGTAAACTTTAAGTTAACAGGATAAAAACATAAACCGAGAGGGAAAAACATACAAAAACATTATTTTTTTCACACTCACCTCGATCAAACTTCTTGCCCTCGGGATCAATATCCTTCACATCAAAAATATCTTCGAACAACACCCCCGCCATATTACCAAATTTGGCCTATATAATGTTTCACGTTTATCGACGTTGTTTTTCGGTTTAACCTTATGTCAGATAATCGTTTATAGTACTACAGTTCTGTTTAAGCTTTTTCGTCATAAATATTATAAAATTTGCTTGTAATTGGCATAAACGTCACTAATTTAGAAAATTTATTGCATGTTAATTAGGATACAGGAAGTTAGGTCATTTCTACACTATTCTTCTCTTCGTTACTGGAGAGTTCATATACAGGGCGGTAATTTTGTATTTGCCTTGACTTGCTAGTACAAGACCGGGAAATGTATTTCAATGTCATATTATTTAACGTTAAATTCTACCATGGATTATTGATACTCGCAATATTTATTTTTTTTTTAATATACAAGAATGTGATTATACCATATATATTTATAATTTATGACTGCATATTTCAAAACATGAATGATTTATGAAAAAAAATTATGTACATTACATCGAATTCAGAATGTAGTTTCTTTCGCAATTTTTAACTTTTCATAATTTGTTTCTTTCTGTGAAAATTAAAGCTTTAATAAATAATATTACATGGATACTGCACTATCACGGACCTATATTCCAGTCTGTACATGTGTAATCAACTACTTTAATGTCAGTATTAAATCGATGAATCAGTCAGTAGATCAGAATATTGATCAATGAGCTACATTACAAAAATCCCTAGTACTACATATTCATTGCAAGCCTATGTTTATTAAATGTTCATGGTATGATGGGTCTTGATAATTTTTTTTTTATTTATCTCTAGTTTTAATTTTACCTAAATTATTGACAACATTAATTTTTAAAACTGAAGACCATTTTATTGCAATTTGCCCCCCCCCCCCTCCCAAAATGTATAGCGAATACATACTACTGAGTATCAAAAAAGGCAAGGGTACTACATGCTTGTGCCCGCAATAGTTAAGTATTATGACCTTTCTTTTTCATAATTTATTTATTTATCTAATTATTTATTCCTATTTGTTATTTTTTTTTACTAATAATTTATAAATTAATTTATTTCTATTTATATATTTTTTAAATATATTTTTTCTTGCTTGCGAGGGATTTTTTTTATAGCCCCCCCCCCCCTAAAATTGCTTATAACGGACCTTAGAAATTTGACCTTATCATATCTTTAAATAAGTCATTGACCAACATAATATAAAACTCATGCATTCACTGGGTGTATGGACAAAGCCAATTTAAAATCCGTCAATATATTTATTACATTGTTCTTTTGACGTAACCTATATATCGTTCTTTGTTTCAGGTCTTCGGGAGCAATGGTCGAGCACGATGAGGCCTGTTGATCTTAATTATACATATAAAAAGAAATAAAAGATTAACAGTGCATTCAAGTAGGAAATGGGAGGTCAACATTACCGCTACATTACCAAAATTTTCAACTCATTACCGCTACATTTTTTCAGATTTTGAGGGATCATTACCGCTATATTTTTTCGGCAAAAAAAAAACAACTCATTACCGCTACATATTGAATCAGTTAAAAACAACTCATTACCGCTGTACATATCGATTTAGCCAGGTATGGTTCGGTACATGAATTGTAATGAACAGAATTTGGACAGTGGTTGAAAGTATTCTTTGATTTGGGTTTTTTGGATCCTCGAGAAGTTGAAGAGTGCTTTGTGTTTGATGTGTTTTCCGAAGCACATTGAACGGTCATCGTCATTTCCACCTACAATTTGGGCAGATGCAGATGTTGAGTGTGAAAGTTTTTACAAAGAGTTCGACATATAATGTTTTATAGTTCACATATGAGCATTTTTTTTATTTTTTGACCAAGATTCAGTCAGTCTAGACAAAAAGTTACTTGAAAATGCGTGCTGCAAGAAACAGGATTCTCCCAGGACGAAAGGAGAATAACAACATAGCACCAAAAAGGGAACTGAAAGCTAAATACGACAGAGGCGAATGACAAGGCAACAATATGTAAAGCAAATGGCTTTATTTACCGATAGTGTAAAAACATTTGACAAAACTTTAAATTTTATATATGAACAGTGCTTGATTTTAATTTTTTGTGTTTTATGAAATAAAGTTGATTTTAATAATAATAAAAAAACATCCTGTTCAAAGTCCTACTTTCACCTACCCGTGGTGAGCAGGGGAAACGAATCTTAGGCATATATAGGTTGTACTGTACTCGCATAAGTGGCTGGCTAACGAAAGAGGCAATGTAGCGGTAATGTTTGGTATGCCTACTACACTTTCTTTCAAATGACACCAAGGTCAATGACCTTGTGACCTTGACTGTGACCTATATGCTAAAAATAGAGTTTTTTGCACACTTTAACCTTTGCCATAACTTTTGCCATGTATATTGTTTTTGTTCTGTCTGTCTGTCTGTTTGTCTGTTTGTCTGCAAACTTTAACCTTGGCCATAACTTTTGAATCATGAATGATAGAAACTTCATGTTTGGTATGCCTACTACACTACTGAAGCTCTTTCAAATGACACCAAGGTCAATGACCTTGTGACCTTGACTGTGACCTATATGCTAAAAATAGAGGTTTTTTTGCACACTTTAACCTTTGCCATAACTTTTGAATCATGAATGATAAAGAACTCATATTTGGTATGCCTGCTCCACTACTGAAGGTCTTTCAAATGACACCATGATCAATGACCTTGTGACCTTGACTGTGGCCTATACGCTAAATATAGCTTTTTTGACTGCAAACTATAACCTTTGCCATAACTTTTGAACGAAGAAAGATAGAGACCTAATATTTGGCATGCATACTCCACCATTGAAGTCCTTTCACATGACACCAAGGTCAATGACCTTGTGACCTTGACTGTGTCTTATATGCTAAAAATAGCCTTTTTTAACCTTCACCATAACTTTTGAACCATGAAAGATAGAGACTTCGTATTTGGCATGCATATTTCACTAATCAAGATCTTTCAAATGACACCATGATCAATGACCTTGTGACCTTCATTGTGACCTTTATGCTAAAAATATATTTTTTTAAATTTGTTGCTGCCGGGCGTATAGTGTTTCACAAACACATCTTGTTTTATGTAGCGGTAATGTAAGTTTTTTGTAGCGGTAATGACTATGTAGCGGTACTGAAAATTTTGAAAATGTAGCGGTAATGATACGCACCCGTATGATATTCTATACATTTTGAATAATTTTTATTATAGTGTCTTAATTTATATATTTTGTGAAATAAAGCATATCCCATCCAAATCATGTACCGTTGACTAAATATTGCAATTTGAAAAGAAACGACAGAGAAAAGGAGCAGTAATATTATACGTGCATATAGTTCCATTTTCAAATCTAGTATGGATATTGCCATAATTTAATTTATTTGGTTGCAACACTGTTCCAAACTTTTTAGCTCACCTGACCCAAAGGCTCAAATGAGCTTTTCTGATCAAATTTGTTCTTTGTCTGTCGTTGGCGTCGTCAACTTTTCACATTTTCATCTTCTTCTCAAGAATTACTGGGTCGATTTCAACCAAAATTGGCACAGAGAATCCTTGATTAAAGGGAATTCAAGTGTTTTCAAATGAATGGTTACATACCCTTCTCCAACTAAGAAATAAGAATTATGACTTCCAGGGGTATGATTGGGCCAAAATTGGGGATCAAATTGAGAAATATATAGAAAATATCTTTAAAAAACCCAAAAGCAGGTAAGCCATGATTGATGACACCTGTATTTATAAATATTAATGTATAAAACAATTTTTATGCCATGACATCGCCATTGGTCATCTTCACTTATTTTGCTGATTTTCTTGACAAGGTCCTCCAACAATCTATCGGAATTTCTATAGATACTAACAATACAGACAAATGATGAATAAGCTGATGATACAAGGGTACCATTATATGATTGTTGATAAAAAGGGATTCCAACAATTTCGTTTAAAGTCAATATTTCTCAAATTATATGGTCATTACAATGACACTGTTAGCAAAAAAAAAAAAAAAAAAACAGTCTTTCCTTTGGTCGATAGTTCTACGTTAGTTCTATTTACCGATTTTGGCGGAAAGCAGCGTCCGGTAAATCAAGTACATCACTAAATGTCTTATCATATTTTATTTATAACTAGAACATTCAGATAGCGCTAAATCAAATCTACGCTAACTCGCTGAAAAATGATTTCTCGCCCCATGTCATACTCGCAAATCGAAGACTAAGGGGCATATATCTTTAGCTCTTTCCGTTCATCTGTCTGTTTGTCCGCAAAAAAACCTTGCTTATTATTTTGGGGGGTTGGTTGGAGCTATGGCTATTTCACTAGTGTATGCCTTGTAGCAAGACCTTTCGTTTGGGTACCAACATATCTGAGCTGTGTATCATCGAGTTTGATCCACATTTAAGGGACGATCATTTGATTCGGGATACGGGGGGGGGGGGGGGGGGGGGGGGTCGAGTTAGACTATTTACCGTATATCCGGTCTTTTTGGGGAGCGTTTTGGAATTTTTTGCAAAAAAAGGGTAGATTTGTAGTTTTTATTTTGCGTAAGTTTTTTGGGAATAAAAAAAAAAGATAATGTTTTTATCTCTGACATACAAAAATCCAAAGTGTACCATTTCATACATTATATGCATTTGTGAGCATAAAGCATGGTTTAGGCTAGCTCAGTTTCAAAGAAACTCTTCAAGATACTTTTATCAAAATATAATGGTGCATATTGACGAGTTCTATTCAAAGTGCATCAGCATTTTCTGATTGATCTTTCCTTAAGGCTTTGACCTTGACCTTACTTTCTTAAATTAGTTATTATTTTAATTTCAAAGAAAAATAGGCTATTTTTATTAAATCTTTAAGAGCTATTCAACTTCATCAGCATTTATTGACCTTGGCCTTTCCTTTGTCCTTAAAGTCACTTATCGGAAAATGCTATTGGACTCAGTTTCAAGGAAACATTTCCAGAAAATTTAATCAAAACTTAAATACCGATACACATTGTTGAAAGCTATATTCAATTGCATCGATATTTTTTACGACGAGAATTCCCTTGACCTTGACTGCAAAATTTATGTTTGGTTAAATTTCAAAAAAAGATTTTTTTAATAAACTTTATATGGGTATCATGTTGTAAATTTTGAATTTACTAGGAGGAGGTAAATGCAAAATTTAGTTGTAAATTTTGCATTTACCTCCCCCTAGTAAATTCAAAATTTACAACATGATATGGGTACTACAGACGTGCTTTTTTCCACGATGTCATATTTCCGTGGAATCTCAATTTCTGTTTAATTCGCAGGTAGAAAATTACACAGATTTCTTAAACTGTCCCTATATACACTGTACCTTACATGTATATTAAGTACGCTTGGACAAATTTCCGCAGAAAATTTGTGACCGCGTACATACTACATAGCGTAAATTAATACCACGCGGAAAAAAGTACATCTACTGTATACAAATTAACATTGGCATCTTTTTTATGACTGTGATAATATCATTTTTATGCTCCCGGGTCGAAAGCTCCGAGGCGTATATTGTTTTTGTCCTGTCTGTCTGTCTGCAAACTTTAACCTTCGCCATATCTTTTGAACCATGAACGTAAGAGATTTCATATTTGGTATACATAATCCACTAATTAATCTCCCTCAAATGACACCAAGGTCAATGACCTTGTGATCTTGACAGTGACCTATATGCTAAATATAGCTTTTTTGTCGGCAAACTTTAACCTTCAACTTTGAAAGAAAAAAGATAGAGACTTAATATTAGGCATGCATACTCCACTAGTTAAGCACTTTCACATGATATCAAGGTCACTGACCCTGTGACCTTGACTGTGTCCTATATGCTAAAATTATCTTTTTTGAACCTTCACCATAATTTTTAACCATGAGAGATGGAGACTTCATATTTGGTATGCATTCTTCACAAATCAAGTTCTTTCAAATGACACCAAGTTCAATGAACTTGTGACCTTGACTGTGACCTATATGCTAAGAATGTTTTTTTATCTTTGTTGCCACCGGGTGCATAGTGTTTAATGCTGTATTTCTAGAGCTTTACACTGCAATATTTGATTAAGGAAGACTTGATGCTCGTTAAGTTGATTGACTGTATGTTGTTTAAGTCTTTCTCTCGAACTTTTCACTCACATGGAGACGCCACCACTTGTCGGTGGCCTATACTCAGCACTTACAGCCATTGAGCAGAGGATTTTTTTCTGAGCCAGCACCTACTGGAACCTTGGTTTATATGGCCTCATCCGAAGGACCGGTCTCCCCGTCCCACAGTGGGATTCGAACCCGCGACAAAAGGATAAGCTCCTTACTCAGCGACTCTAGAGAAGACGCTTTAACCACTGCACTACGCGGGCGACCCTCATTAGTGGAGAAAAAAATATGAATTGATAGCACTGGGGTCAATATTAATTTTTTAGCAGACAGAATGGAACTGAAAAAACCAAGCTAGCTTGTATGTTGATTTTCATGTCACTCTTTTGGGATAGATAAATGATCATCCTTACCAAATAAAATTCTCAAAAAAGTTTCATTACTAGACTGAAGATAAATGTAATGTAAAGATACCACATCCCGAAGCCCAGGAGCATTATACTGACTGATTCATGTTTGTGATCAATCATAACAATAAAAGAGGAGAATGCTCAGTGATGTTAACAAGTCAAAGGACTTTGCAGAGGAGTATGATATACCGATACATGTACATTCATTTTTAAGCAAGAAAATTTCAGCTGTTAAAGAGTCCTGAGAATCATGTGTTCATACACCAATTTTTAGCTCACCTGAGCCGAAGGCTCAAGTGAGCTTTTCTGATCAAAATTTGTCCGTTGTCTGTCGTCGTTGTCGTCGTTAACTTTTTACATTTTCACTTCTTCTCAAGAACCATTGGGCCAATTTCAACCAAACTTGGCATAAAGTATCCTTAGGTGAAGGGGATTCAAGTTTGTTCAAATGAAGGGCCACGCCCTTATTTAAGGAGAGATAATTGAGAAATAGTGAAAATCTGATGGTATGTTTAAAAAATCTTCTTCTCAAAGATGAAGCTTAAAGTTTGAAAGACCAAGAAACAAATTGATAATTCACAAAACTAGAGCTTTCAGACAAGACGAAGTTATTTTTTACACTAAAGAATATTTTGTTTTTTCTACCCAGAAAAGACACTACTTTTGTTACTCTCAATGCTGTGACATTTTCATGTTTTATGAGATTGTGATATTGTTTAATCCATTGCATCACAGTTTGTTAAAAGAAAAAAACAACAATGGGTAAATATCTGTAAACATAGTAAAAACACAAAACACTTCTGCTTTTGAACAATTTGAAAATAAAAAAAAACACAATTATATTTTCATAAAATTTCCCAGTCACTGTGTTACAATAAATTCAAAATCAATTATAAATGACATACTGTACAAACACTGACTTATTTACCTATTCATAAACTTTACCAGAAAGTATTGTATTTACCGTAATAGTTAAAAAACTGAAAGAATGATCTTCATAGTAAATTGGTATAAAGTACACTCTATATAAGTCTAAGTTAATCATAGGAAAATTACAAAAATAATTTTATAGAGACAAAGTTTGTGTATGGTTTGTAAATTTGAATAAATTCTATTTAACATATATATATATATATATACATTTATATTAAAGTTTACCAGTAAATTTTCATTGTACAGAGACACGTTTTCCAATGATCCAATAAAACTTAAATAATTCTGACAGGTGTTTAATGAGTGAATTTTAATGAAACCAAATAAAAACAATAATAAACCAGAAGTCTCTGTCGAGAGTGTAGCTCTACTGGTTTGTACTTATAACAAAGATTGAGAAAAGAAGCCATTGCCATCAGACCAAAACTGTAGGAGTAGTGTTCTATTTCTAGTAACAATGGCAATACCGTTCATCGAAATCAAAAACCAATGCACTACATTATGTATCTTAGTGTAGTCTACTTGTGTGCCAAGTTATACTGAAATCAGACCAAAACTGTAGGAGGAGTAGCATTTTAAAGAAATTTCACAGAAATTTCTATTTTTAGTAACCATGGCAACACCGTTCATCGAAATCAAAAACTGATGCACTATTTCATGTGTCTCAGTGTAGTCTACTTGTGTGCCAAGTTATATTGAAATCAGACAAAAACTGTAGGAGGAGTAGCATTTTAAAGGAATTTCACAGAAATTTCTATTTTTAATAACCATGGCAACACTGATCATCAAAATCAAAAACCGATGCACTCCTTTATGTGTCTTAGTGTAGTCTACTTGTGTGCCAAGTTATATTGAAATCAGACCAAAACTGTAGGAGGAGTAGCATTTTAAAGGAATTTCACAGAAATTTCTATTTTTGATAACCATGGCAACACTGATCATCAAAATCAAAAACCGATGCACTCTTTTATGTGTCTTAGTGTAGTCTACTTGTGTGCCAAGTTATATTGAAATCAGACCAAAACTGTAGGAGGAGTAGCGTTTTGAAAAATTATTTACAGACAGACGGACAGACAGACAGCTAGACGGACGACGGACACCTTACTATCGCATAAGCTCTTCTGGTCTCTGACCAGTAGAGCTAACAAGAGACTTCATGGTTACATTTACCATCCTAAGTAAATATATCTATAAAAATAAATATAATCACAACTTGATTCAAATGACAATAAATAAGTGAAATCAGATGTAAATAAAGTAAATGAACTAAGATCAATTACTAATTAAAACACAGTAAACTCATTGGATGTTAGAAGTACAAAGAAAAAAAGGTTCATTGGAATTTGATTTTATGGTGGAAAAAATATTAAGTTGCTCTCTATTAGAAATTTTGCATTTTGTGAAGGACATGAATTTATTGCATTGGTCTCTTCATAGCAAAAAAAACAACAAAAATTATCCATCCCCCCAAATAATGATAATAATTATTCATTTAACAGGAGTATATTCATAACAAACAAATATTCTTTGAATAAATATTGTAAATAAAACTAGGAGTGGATTTCATCTTGGAAATCTGAGCTTTACCACCCTGCTGAACTACCACCAGGCCGTCGAAAATCATTATTCGCATAAATTCCATTCTCATCCTGAACAATTCCATTAACAATTGAATTCCCTAAAGCCTCTTCTGATATATTGTGATGCTTAGCCTGTAGACCATCAAGGTAGAACTGAAAAAAAAAAACTGTTTAAGTTTTACTTCTCATACAGGGTTTCATAATATATGTTACATTTTTGAATCTTCAATTTGACAAACACAAAAATAGCGAAATTTCCAAGTTACATCATTTTTGCTATTTTTATTTCACAACATCAAAAGCTCACATTACATGTTCTAAATATATACATGTGCAGTCTGTATAATGTAATGGTATGTGCAAAAACAACCCTAAATATTTGAAATTATTCTTTCTTAGAAACATGATACATGTATATTCATCTTGGAAAATAAAGTGTCATGAAAATTTGGTGATCTATGCAACAGTTATATAATAATAATAATGATTGTTTTTTATGTAGGGCCTTTCTTGCATAAATGCTATAAAAGCGCTTTACAATACATTATTACCCAGCAGACCATAACAATCCAGAATCTTTCATATCTTTCACTGTCTATAGCCAGGTACCCCTTTTACACTTGGGTGGAGTAAGGAAATTCGTGTAAAGTGCCTTTCCCAAGGACACAACGTCGACTTGCCGCGGCCAGGATTTGAACTCACAACCTTTCGGTTTGGAGTCCAGCACTTTAACCACTACACTACCGACACCACAAAGGTATGAAGTAAGACCCAAGACTACACACAGTTTTACCACTTGTACATTCTCATATAAATTTTATGTTAAAAGCAGTGCTTACTTTTTCGAGTGAAAGTTAAAAGCTGCAAATGTTTTTGATTTAAGAGAAACCATAGTCAAACTTTGTACCTTATCTTGCATTGGTTTTCATTGAATGGTCTCCATTAGGCATTACTAAACTCTGGTAAGACAAACTTTTAGACATTTAAGGACTAATTACTTGTAAAGTTCTCTAATCAGAGGGTCAGTCCCACTTAAATGTCAGTACTAAATATCCTTTGGAGGGAGGGGAAACCAGAACACCCACCCCCATCCCAGTCTCGCTGTCCAAAAGAGTATTATCAAACCAGAAAATGGTTTATACATTACCTTTGGAAAATCTGGTTCATGGTACACTGTTTGTGGAATAAGCTGGTGATGTAGTCTCCTGGCATCAATGGCTTCCTTGATATTGTCTCCAAACCACAAAACATGGGCAGCAACCTTAGAAAAACAAGAGGCCCATGGGCCACATCGCTCACCTGAGTAACTTGGGTGATGCAGTTCTTTACCAGATTATCCCTCTTGCTATACCTATCGTGCCCCTACCCACTTTCTTTTCATGATTTTAACACTTTAGAATCTACACTACCACATGCAGGATGCTTCCACATAAGTTTCAGCTTTACAGGCCCAAAAGTTTTTAAGAAAAAGATTCGTAAAAGATTTTTCTTTAAATATATCTACCTAAAACTTGGATTCCTTATTGTGACTCCACCCTACCCCCGGGGGTCATGATTTTAATAATTTAATATTTACACTACCCAAGGATGCTTCCACGTAAGTTTCAGCTTTCCTGGCCCAGTGGTTCTTGAGAAGAAGATTTTTAAAGATTTGTTCTATATATTTCTATGTAAAACTTGGATTCCCTATTCCCCGCCCTACCCCCGGGGGTCATGATTGTAACAATTTAATATCTACATACCCAAGGATGTTTCCACATAAGTTTCAGCTTTCCTGGCCCAGTGGTTCTTGAGAAGAAGATTTTTAAAGGTTTGCTCTATATATTTCTATGTAAAACATGGGATTCCCTATTGTGGCCCGGCCCTACCCCCGGGGGTCATGATTTTAACAATTTAATATCTACACTACCCAAGGATGTTTCCACATAAGTTTCAGCTTTCCTGGCCCAGTGGTTCTTGAGAAGAAGATTTTTAAAGATTTGTTCTATATATTTCTATGTAAAACTTGGATTCCCTATTGTGGCCCCGCCCTAACCTCGGGGGTCATGATTGTAACAATTTAATATCTACATACCCAAGGATGTTTCCACATAAGTTTCAGCTTTCCTGGCCCAGTGGTTCTTGAGAAGAAGATTTTTAAAGATTTGTTCTAAATATTTCTATGTAAAATATGGATTCCCTATTGTGGCCCCGCTCTACCCTCGGGGGTCATGATTTTAACAATTTAATATCTACACTACCCAAGGATATTTCCACATAAGTTTCAGCTTTCCTGGCCCAGTGGTTCTTGAGAAGAAGATTTTTAAAGATTTGTTCTATATATTTCTATGTAAAACATGGATTCCCTATTGTGGCCCCGCCCTACCCCCGGGGATCATGATTTTAACAATTAATATCTACACTACTGAAGGATGCTTCCACGTAAGTTTCAGCTTTCCTGGCCCAGTGGTTCTTGAGAAGAAGATTTTTTAATGACCCCACCCTATTTTTGTCTTTTCTTGATTATCTCCCCTTGTAAGGGAACTTGGCCCTTCATTTTAACAATTTAAATTCCTCTTCACTCAAGGATGCTTTGTACCAAGTTTGGTTAAAATTGGCCATTGGTTCTTGAGAAGAAGTCGAAAATGTGAAAAGTTTACAGACGGACAGACGGACGGACGAAGGACAAAATGTGATCAGAAAAGCTCACTTGAGCCTTCGGCTCAGGTGAGCTAACAAAGTTTATATATCAGCAACGCATAGATGTAATTGTTCTAAACTCTCCATGAGTAGAATTTTCTTTTCAATTGCAAGCTACAAGTATCTCAAAATGAGACATGATAAATTTGTCTTGTTCAATCGTTCTCTCTTGTCATCTAGCATCTCTTATGAATGCTCATATAATGACTATTTTTTGTCCCCCGCTTGAAAAGTGGGGGATATTAATTTGGGTTTGTCCGTCCGTCTGTCCGTCCGTCCGTCCGTCCGTCTTTCTGTCTGTCTGTAACGCTTTCGTTTCCACACGATATCTCGAGAACCCTTTGAGCTTTTGCAATGAAAGTTAGCATAGCAACTCCCTATGGACTAAAGAAGACCCCTATTGATTTTGAGGTCAAAAGGTCAAAGGTCAAGGTCATAAATAAGCAAATTCTGTCTGTTAAAACACTTTCGTTTCCACACGATATCTCTAGAATCATTTGAGCCATCGCAATGAAATTTTACATAACAACTCCCTGTGGCCTAAAGAAGACCCCTATTGATTTTGAGGTCAAAAGGTCAAAGTTCAAGGTCGTAAATTTATACATTCTGTCTGTGTGTAACATTATCATTTCCGGGCGATATTTCAAGAAGATTTTGAGCTTATGCAATGTCATTTTATACCAAAACTCCCTAGGACGTCTCTCGCCCCTCTCAAGTGCCCCGCCCCGTTTGTTTTATTAGTATTTATAGTATTACATGTCGCTATTTTTAGCGCAGGGGCATGAGGAGAGTTATTGCGTATAAAACAGGTTCTCGGCGGACTTGATGTTCTTATTACATCTATTATAACTGTTTGATAAAGGCTAAATAAATCAAACACCATGGATTGTGTAAAGTTTTGAGAATACCGAACATGAAAACATGAATATATACATGTATGTGACTTCAGTTCTGCATATACTTCACTCTAAGTAAAGCGACTCCGTGGTCTGGTGGTTATGTCTCTCGCTTCAAATGTGCGAGGTCCCGAGATCGACTCTCGGTCGAAGCTTTCTTTTTTTTTTTTTTTTTTAAATATTTTTTTTTTTTACTAAATGATAGTATTCAGCATGTAAAATGAAAAATTTATGAGGTTATAAAATCATCATTACAGTGTGATAAATATTCCATATAAAAAAATCTTCTATACACATAATAAAGAATAAGCAATCAAATCTTTATATGCCTATTGACATACATGTATTTTATTTCCTTCAGTATACATGTATACATTTAATAATTCTACAAATTCAGTCAGGGGGAGCCGACTTTTTCCCTAAGCGGGGGACACGAATTCTCTGAATTAGCTTGTTTCATTCTAAATTGTATTGAAGCAATACACTTTTGTTATTTCCCTTGAACTCAAAACTTACTCCTTTTCACCACACACACATCTCTAAATCACTTTATTAGGACTAAAAGTTGTAGGGGATAATAAATTCGGTGAATTTTTTTGTCTTTCTTTGCTTCAAGTATTAAAAAACCCCAAATCCATAGCTGGGACGAAAACTCATGTTTTAGCTTTAACTTTTAAGATTTCTCATCTTTTGTACTGTTAGTATCAACTCATACAAAAGCTGTATTATTTTAAACTGTATTAAGAAAGCTGTATTTTTTTGTTCTGTTAGTGTCAACACATACATGAGCTGATTTCTTATGTACTGTCAAAATCAGCCCAAACAAAAGCTTCAGATTTTGTCCATAATTTTTATTTTTCAGAATTAAAATCTAAGGGCAGTAACTCTAACTGCAAAAAAAATAATATAGAATCAGAATCAGAATCTCTTTTGTGTGCAGTGTAGAGAGGGCTCTTAAATTGTGTCCCCAACTGTGTGAATTATCTGTAACTGATACTGGCCTAAATCTTTACTCAGAAATTGATTATTCTAAAAAAAATCACACTTTTTGGGCTTTCTATGCTTCAAGTATAACCAGAAGTCTCTGTCGAGACTGTAGCTCTACTGGTTTGTACTTATAACAGAGGATGAGAAAAGAAGTCATTGCCATCAGACCAAAACTGTAGAAGAATTAGCGTTTTAAAGGAATTTCACGGACATTTCTATCTTAATAACAAAAGCAACACCGTTCATCAAAATCAAAAACCGATGCACTATTTTACGTACCTTAGTGTAGTCTACTTGTGTGCCACGTTATATTGAAATCAGACCAAAATTGTAGGAGGAGTAGCGTTTTAAAGGAATTTCACAGAAAATTCTATTTTCAGTAACCTTGGCAATACTGTTCATCGAAATCAAAAAGCCATGCACTATTCTATGTATCTTAGTGTAGTCTACTTGTGTGCCAAATTATATTGAAATCAGACCAAAACTGTAGAAGGAGTAGCGTTTTAAAGTTATTTCATAGAAAATTCTATTTTAGTAACCATGGCAACACCGTTCATCGAAATCAAAAACCGATGCACTGTTCTATGTATCTTATTGTAGTTTACTTGTGTGCCAAGTAATACTGAAATCAGACCAAAACTGTAGAGGAGTAGCTTTTCAAAGTTATTTCACATAAATTTCTATTTTTAGTAACCATGGCAACACCGTTCATCGAAATCCAAATTCGATGCACTATTTTATGTATCTTAGTGTAGTCTACTATTGTGCCAAATAATATTGAAATCAGACCAAAACTGTAGGAGAAATAGCGTTTTAAAGGAATTTCACAGAAAATTCTATTTTTAGTAACCATGGCAACATTGTTCATCAAAATCAAAAAGCGAAGCACTATTCTATGTATCTTAGTGTAGTCTACTTGTCTGCCAAGTAATACTGAAATCAGAGCAAAACATTAGGAGAAATAGCATTTTAAAGGAATTTCACAGAAATTTCTATTTTTAGTAACCATGGCAACATCGTTCATCGAAATCAAAAACCGATGCACTATTTTATGTATCTTAGTGTTGTTTACTTGTGTGCAAAGTTATAATAAAATCAGACCACAACTGTAGGAGGAGTAGCATTTTGAAAAATTGTTTACAGACAGACGGACAGACAGACAGACAGAAGGACGGACGACGGACACCTTACTATCGCATAAGCTCTTCTGGTCTCTGACCAGTAGAGCTAAAAATCAAATTCAAAGTTATATTGCAAACTCTGGATTTAGCCTAAACTTTTACGATATTCATTATCAACCCATACATTATCTGTACTCTTTTGTACTTTCAGTATCAACCCTTACATAAGCTGTGGCAGTCGTAATTCTGGATCCACCTGCAGCGCCCACTACCATCTTCACTTTCTTTGTCTTGTCTGCCAGGACCGCAGGACACATGGATGACAGTGGCCGCTTCCCAGGCTTGATGAAGTTGGAGGGAGAGGGAGCGATTCCAAAAGCATTGGTGATGTTAGGGGAAGAAAAGTCATCCATTTCATCATTAAACAGTATTCCTGTCTGTCTTCCTGTAATCCCTGAACCAAATCTGAAAAGTCAGATAATTATCAATTAATTTTTTTTTGTTCTTTTCTAGTATATTGGATTTACCAGTTGAACAAATGAAGACTTATGAGAGAAATAAAAAGAAGTGAAGAAAAACTTTTAAAATCTGATTCTGAAAAGATATGAAAGATTGGACATACCCTGATGGATCTTGTAAATAACATCATATTCAAGTCAAACAAAAAAGTCTTAAGAGAACAGGAAGGAAATTGTCCCAAGAACACTCAGTGGACGGAAGCTGAAGAAAGGGAACAAGATCTACATGTAGGTGGAGACAACAGAAGTCAATAGAAATAGATATAAAAAGGAAATTTTCAATGGCCAGCATGGGGAACCAAAAGCTTTAAGTTAATGTACACAAGTATTATACTGTATCAATAATTTAATCTCTGATTAAATCAAAATACATGTAATTACTTGAAACATTGTGCTTGAATTTCAGCTACTATAGTTTATAGCTTTTCCATTACACAGATCATGTACTGCTGAATTCCCACAATCCCCTATAACAGATAGACAGTTAATGTAATGTTACTCATCGCCCCAATCCTCACATAGCCAAGATAACCGAGTGATGATTCAAAGATTGTTAGTTGGTGTGAAAGCCACTGATACAATGTAACCCCAGCCTTGCCAAAGCACAGACCAATAATGAATACAGATTGAAACTGATGTCAATGACATTGAAACTGGATATCTTTTTCGCACAGATGATAAGAAAGCAATGATGAATACTAGTAAGCACAGACAGTGAGACTGATAGATAATACTAAAATTACTACAATGCAATCTTTTCAAAGCTCTGACAAGTGAGTACTGATAAATTTACAAGAAATTGACATGAAATGTGAGTTCCTATCAATTTATTTAAGGAATGTTTTTAAGTTTTGTGTGAGTTATTGGTGTGTGAATCACACAGACTTGTCACTTCACATTTCATGATGCGCGCTAGCACACACACTTCCCAAAATACTTGTGTGCTTATGGTAGATTGTCAGTTCTTGTCACTGTGTACTTACAGTATATTGAAAGTTGTTGTCATTATGTGTACTTACAGTAGTTTGACAGTTCTTGTCACTGTGTACTTACAGTAGATTGACAGTGGTTGTCACTGTGTGTACTTACAGTAGATTGACAATTGATGTCACTGTGTACTAATAGTAGATTGACAGTGGTTGTCTCTGTGTGTACTTACAGTAGATTGACAGTTGTTGTCACTGTGTGTACTTACAGTAGATTGACAGTTGTTGTCACTGTGTACTTACAGTAGAATGACAGTGGTTGTCACTGTGTGTACTTACAGTAGATTGACAGTTCTTGTCACTGTGTACTAATAGTAGATTGACAGTTGTTGTCTCTGTGTGTACTTACAGTAGATTGACAGTTGTTGTTACAGTGTGTACTTACAGTAGATTGACAGTGGTTGTCACTGTGTGTACTTACAGTAGATTGACAATTGATGTCACTGTGTGTACTTACAGTAAATTGAATGTTGTTGTCACTGTGTACTTACAGTAGATTGACAGTTGTTGTCACTGACACAGCTATCCCATCCTCCCCCAGTACTGACAGGTGAGCAGTACTACTTTTCAGCTTGTGGTCAAACACTGGACCGTAGTAAGGGGTCTTATGTGTTGTGTTATCCCATATCATCCTCCTGGTTCTGTCAGCATACACTGTAGATGTTAACTTCTTCACAACCTAAAGATTAAAAAATGTATGGTGAACAAAAAATGTATGGTGAAGATGTTCTTTGTTTCATATATTCTTTACTGTTACACAGCAGGAAGTCAATATGCAATTAAACTCATATTTATTAAAATAATTGTATTTATCTAAGAGAAACTGAAAAGGGGAAATACGAGTAACTTCTTTCAGTTTAGTACAAATCAAATTAATAGGACCCTGCCAGGCACCCAAACACTTGACTAAATGGTCCAGAAGTATAAAATTTGTACTTGATTTGCTCCTGGATGCTCTGGAACAAATTTGCAAAGAAGTATGTATTTTCACTATAGATTTAACACAACCCATCCTATTTGATGGGACCATTTAAAATTCTTTAAGCATTGGCTCAGGTGAGCTAAAAATACATAAAACTGTCTGTACCTCAGTAACATTAGGAACAAAGGCGGGATCTCCAAGGTCTGATCTCAGAGCATACGCAAATTTAAAGGCCTCTATCATTCTGTGGTAGGCTGTAAGACGTGACTCCTTTGTTTGTAGATCCTTAGCTGTCAAGTTGTAACCTATACAGTGTAGTAAAAAACATAAAACATGACAAAATATAGTGAAAAAATTGGTTAGATTAAAAGATCTAAGTTGGCTACTTTGAAAGTCATTGAAGATAATTACCACTGTAAATCTTTACTGTATATGAGAAAAATACACCAGCATACAAAAACAAGTAAATTCTCTTTTATTAGTCAAAGAAAATGAGGTAATATTACAGTATGAGATGTCTATGATAACAGAGGATTTGTTTGAAGTAACACAAGGCACCCATTTGCCAAATCCACAACCCAAAATCAGAAAGACATATCTTGCTTTACATGAACTCACAAGTTTTTTTTCACAATTAATGGTATACATGTATATCATATGTGCCACATATGATTTCAAATGAAGTGAGTTTCATTTGAAGATCATATGATATGTAAACCAAATGTTTTCATATGTACATTCATGTATATGAGAATCATATATCGAAAACAGGTAGTCTATCACACAAAATTCATATGAATTGATTTTAATATGTTCAGCATATTTGCACTTCATATGAATTTTAAGTGATATATAACATAACATAGTATTGTTCAAAGAATCAATCAAGTGTTTTCACAAATTAAGAATCAATAAAAAAAAAGCACAATAACCACTGGTTTGGGACTGTAGAGGTTTTATTTACCATCCAATATACTAAGTATGAATGAGAGAACAGCTCCACTGGCCGGTGGTTTGGGGCTGTAGAGAACACTGCCATCTCTCAGTGTTACTTTCAAAGCCTCTTCAAACTTGGCAGTATAATCTCTGAGATCCTTCTCGCTGATGTTAGATTCTAAAATACATTCAATTCATAATTAAACAACATTGAACAAGGGGCCGAACATATATCTACAAATCACTCAATAATTAGGAGAAAAAATATACAGTGTTCAAGGAAATTTTAAGCAACTATTTCATTTTCGCCCATTTCTTTATAACATACTCTTTTCTTTGAGATCCTGCAGTATATCGTAACCAAGACTTCCCTCTGTGACATTATAGAAAGCTTCTCCACCATTCTCTGCCAGATTCCTGTAAGTTTTTGCCAGTTCTGGAAATTTAATCAAGTCTCCCTCTTTCAACATTTTCCCAGTCTTTTGATCTGAGTAGTGTTTCCTATAAAATGACCAATGTACATGTAGCATAAACAGTAAAATGCAATTCTAACAAAGTCCCAGGGACAGACGATTTTGCTTCTTTATAAACACAATTGGTTAGATCCTTTATATTCACAAAATATTTTGATTTACTTTACTTTAAGAGTCAATTCATTAAAGGCATGTTCAGTATAAGCAGTGTTCACATTCTACACAACACATAAGACAACTTTGTATATGCAATTGAAAGAGTAATATTTCTACAATGGAGAAGTTGTGTACCAGGTGTCTTTATCTAGTCTTAAAATATGTTCTGCAGACTCCATCTTTTCTGCCAAATGTTTGGAGATTTGGAATCCATTTTTGGCTAATTCAATACTCTTCGTAAACAAGTCTTTCCATGGTAATTTTCCCCATCTTTTCCATGCCTCCATATACCCCTTGATTTCTCCTGGAACAGCTATACTAGGTCCACCTACATTAAAATTGAGAACAAAAACTTATTTCAATATCTTTGTTTGAGCATACCATACAAGATAATGTGAGGGGCTTATTTGATGTCTTATATAATTAATGTGTACCCATGATTACTTTAAAAATAGATAAATTACTGATATTATTTTTAGCATACCATATACTGATGAATTGACATGGTCCTCATACATAGTTTCAGAGGAACTCAAAGGTGCAGTTTCTCTTGCATTAATGACTGCGGCATTGCCCTTTTTACTGAAAATAAAAAAAAAAACATGAAGTAGTCTTTACAATGTAAATGAATAAATGACTAAAACACTCATCTAGTAAAAATAATCAAGTGTTTCTTCTCATATGCTCAACTCAAGTCCATCTTGATCTCAAACTCTGTACCAATATGACCTCAATTTTTAAGTTCTGATAGAGAACTCTTTAACATACCTGGTATGTGCCCCAATATGAGAACAACAATTTAAAGGGATGCATACCTATCAAAGACTGTCATATAGAGCCCCTCCCCTTTCTAATCAATATAAAAAGATACCCCCGCCACAATATAAGAACAACAATATATAAAATGACCTATCAAAGACTGTCAAATAGAGCTTTCCCCATTTTCAATATAAAGTGATACAATATACCCCCTCCACAATAAAAGAACAGCAACAATATTTACTGATACATACCTATCATAGACTGTCAAATAGATCCCCCCCCCCCAACAACAACATTTACTGATACATACCTATCATAGACTGTCAAATAGACCCCCCAACAACAATATCTACCGATACATACCTATCATAGACTGTCATAAAGAATCCTCCTCCTATCCCACTGCTCACGGGATTGACCACGCCATAGCACAACAATATAGCAATGGCTGCATCGACTGAGGAACCGCGACGTAAAATATCCCTATAGCAATGTAGAAATACAAAGAAAAAATACACAGATTTTAAAAATATCAATATAGTAAAATATAGCGAACATACTAATAAAGAATTGATGCTTACAGCAAAGTAACTTTGTTATAAGAGTGTTTCACTGTAAATTGTTTACATCCTAATAATTATACTTTGTATCCTTAAATGCAGTTTTAATCTGATTTTTTTTATGATCTGAATATGATCGTATTCAAACGTTTCAAAAATCTGAAAAAAAAATAAGAAAAAAGAATACATGTACATGCATTTTTTTTCTTTATGATACTGTGTATGTTTATTTACTGTACATACTCGCCAATATCTGAGCACACTTTGCTGTCTGATGCTATGGCAGCCTTCTTAAATTTCCTAAGTTTAGTCCCTGAACTTGGAAAATCAGACTTGCTGCTTTTGTTATCATGAAGAAGAATGATGGCAATCAGAGCTGCTATGGTGGCAACGGCTATGAGTAGGATCAGCAGGCAACATGCTCTCTTGCTTCTCCTATATAGTTAAAACACAGAAAGAGGGCATGATTAGAACAACATCACCAGAATTGCAAATGATGGAAGCCGATGGATAGATATTGTTGCTGCCTTATGTGCAGATTGAAATGTATGAAAAGATTAAGTAAGGAATAAGGCGAATGTAGCATCTAAATCAGGAATGGTTGAGAGAACAGGAGGCATGGGGGACCTGTACCCCCATAATTTGTACTACAATATAGTTACTATAATAAAACCAAGTATAATGTTTTTGAAATGGTGTGTGCATCTGAACAATTTCATCTGACTATTTTTGCATGTCAAGGAACTTGTGCTTGCTTCCCCGGCCGGCCCCTTCAAATCACATCCCATCCTAGAGTCTCTCAAGGCTTTATAATACAGCCCTAGAAGAATCAATTCATCATGGAGGGTTTAAGACTATTAGAAATACTGTTAATGACCATCTTCAGACACTAGTCTGGATACTCATAAAAATACAAAAAGCATCAGCTATAAAACAACTGTGTATTTACAGATGCCTCATTTATTTTGACTATAAAGAGCTTCACGTTAAAGATAAATCATGGACTCTACATTGATTCTGACTATAATGTCAATGTGACCTAATTATACAGAATTACAGTTTTCATTTCTGAAACTCTATATAGTATACCTTAGCTTCCTTCGCCTAAAGTACTGTTGTTCCAATTCTTTGTCATCATAGCTTATAAACTCTTCATCCCCATGTAAAAGGGGAGAGTACTGATGGCTGTCACCTCTTCCTGACATATTCTGTTCACCAAAAGAATAAAATGCCGGTTGGCTTCAATGTTCATCTGATTTATAATTGTTTAATCATGTTAATACTTGTGGCAATTTTACATGTAACCAGAACATTCAATCTCTTTGAAATTCATTTATATTTTCACTTACAACACATTTAACATATAAAAGCTACACTGTAAAGATTTTAAGACATCCTTATGACATTAATATAAAAAGATAGAGAAGATGAGCAATGTTTGAGCTTGTGTCAGGGAAAAAAAAAATATTCGATATTAATCATGTTTATTGAGCAGCATGATATGTTTACCCTGATTACTTACATTTGACAATAATTAAGTTGACATACATGCATGCGAGTTAATGTAAGCTTTGCTAAAGCTCTAAGTGAAACTGGTCATCGCACAAAACCGTAAGTTTGAAATTTGGAACTTTGATTTTGCAACATTTCACATTTCACTCTATTTACTTTCATTTTTGGCGGAAAATTAATTAAGTCTTACTAAGGCAGTTTCGTAATTTGTTAACTCGTACGGTCTTGTGGTCTTATATCAATTTTAAAAAAATTATGAGTGGAACCCATTTACGGAAGTGTCTAACTTTCTCACGATATTGCCTGTTAAGACAGAACAGAACAAGGATTCGTTTAAGTCTATTCACTAGGACTCTGACAACGGAGAACCAAGAAGAAGGCAAGTTACTAAGTGTTTCGAATTTCCTCAGTAATACGTTTCGAATTTCCTCAGTGTTAGTTGTGAAGGTTGACAAAACAAGCCGAAGCAAAATATTCCTTGATCTTGTGAAATGTAGCTTAATAAAATTTGCTTTCGAATTAGGCTAATTAAGTATCAATGTGGCGGCTGTGTAAAGATAAAACAATGAAGCATAAAAAAAAGTGTTAGTGATGTTGTTGATCAAATGTATTTTTATCAGTGTCCAATAACGTTATACTAAGTAAGTATATTGGTCTCTGATATTATTGAAAATGATTTTTTAATGAATGGATTTATAAAATAAAAAAATGGAGAAAATTGCTCAGATCAGGAGAACTCAAACTTGCTATTACAACATTTTAATTATTTTGGGTCATATACATATGTAGGCCGGGAGGTGGAATTTTTTCCCCATGGTCTTTTCGACATCAATGCATTCTAAATGTTCAAAATCTATCAAAATACTCTAATAATGCCGAATGACTGAAAAGGATTAACCTTTAAGTTTTGGATCAAGTAATAATTAGCCGTATACTTGGACCAAAGTTCATGGACAGTTTGTAACAGGAGAGGAAAAAATGCAATGGACCAGACCGGGATTCGAACTCAGGCCCCCTGAAACTCCAGTCAGGTGCTCTACCAACTGAGCTATCCGGCCATTGGTGATCGAACCTGGCTGACCGCCACATTCCTCCCTCCTTAAACGTCTTTGGCCCCCAAAGTCCTCAACCCAGGCTCATCCTTGGCAGGTCTCTCACTTGTCAGTTCCAGGGCATGGCACGGTACCAAATGTAACGTGAGAGGAGAAAATGCAGCGGACCAGTCCAGGATTCGAACCCGGGCCCCCCGAAACTCCGGTCAGATGCTCTACCAACTGAGCTCTCTGGCCACTGGCGATTGAACCTGGCTGACCGCCACAGGTGCAACTGGTTTAAATTCAGATGCTTGATCTGTCCTACACCTTTGAAGTAAGACTATCCCAAGAATTAACTATTTGTCCGATCAAGACCTAGGTTGCATGAATGATGCATCTAGATTCTGAATCTGACCTAAATTTTTGATCAAGTCCCTCCATATACTTTTTTGGGATGCTGGATCTGAGATTCCGACCTACATTTTGGATCAGGTAAATTCCCAAGTGTATAAGCCTTACTTGATCAAAGTTGAATGAATGAAGCAAAATTTCTTTTCAGATTCCCTGGATTGATCTGACCTTTTTTTTCAAAGCAAGTACGTTGCCAGGTAATTTTAAGCTCTCTCTTGACCAAATTTGCAGTTGCATGGATGAGGCATCTAAGGATGCACACTTTGACTTGCTTTGGATGTTGAACCTGACCTACATCTTGGATCATATTCATTCTGAAGTGACCTACATCTTGGATCATATTCATTCTGAAGTGACTACCGGGACCAAAGTTACATGGATGATGCATCCTAGGTACACTCTACCAGATTTGCTTTGGATGATGCTTTTGAAGTTATCCCAATTAAGTTAGCTGAATAGCAGAACTCCTACCTCAACTTAAGTTGGATGGAAGATCATGATGCATCTGGGGTATGCATACTATCAGACTTGCATCAAATGCCGGATCTAACCTACTTTTCAAAACTGTCCATTTCGGAGTTACTATAAGCCAGTCCTCTGAGTAACTATAGGCCAAACCTGGACCCATTATTAGTTGCATGATTGAAGCATCAAGAAACGCCCATTACCAAACTTGTTTCAGGTGCTGTCATACCACTTTTCAAAGCAAGTCTATTCCCAAGTAACTTTTACACCCTCTGTCTGGACAATAGTTGCACCAATAAGCATTTCCAGACTTGTTTCAGTTGCTGTGTCTGAGCTAAATTTTGGCGAATGTCCATTCCCAAGTTACAAAAAGCTTATCTGGACATGGATGATGTCTTTAGACTACCAGACTGGCTTCAGATGCTAAATCTGTCCCGCTCTTTGATTAAGCAGGTCCATTCCAAAGTACCGGGTAACTGTAAGCTCTGTCTGGATCAGAGTTGCAGGGTTGCTGCATCTAGAGATAAATACTACCAATCATGCTTCAGATGCAGCATCTGACTTTTATGGATGAGCCGACTTTATTTTCAAGATGATTGAAACAAATAAAATTTTTGGGACATTTCCAAAAAAAAAAAACCCTATGAAACCTAAACTTGCTTGGTTGATGCATCTAGGAATGCATACTATCAGAACATACAATTGATGTGATACTTGTTTCACTCTTTACTTAAAGATAATGAATGAGGTGAGCTTTATGATATATACTTTTAGAGGAGAACTTTGTAATCTTTGATACTTATATTTTAATTAAAGTAAAAAAAGGTGTCTTTTGATTCAACTGTTCCTTGTTTTTCATTTGCAGAGAGTGATGACCGGATGTATGTAGATGGAAATGGTCAGCTGAGATTGCGCAAACTGGAATACGATGAACTCTACCCGGGGCACATTCCAACGTCTAATCTACAGAAAGTGCTTCTATCTATTGGGTCAGCGGGAATGTCCCTACTGGATCCAAGTAGAGATGGTAACTATTAAAAACTTGTACTGAAAACAAATAAAATTGGCATCTCTCTTTACAACAAGATCAGAGATACTAAATTCTGCTGTGTTCTGGAAATAACAAAAGGAAGACATTACAGACAAGGCACTGGATAAACCTGAACTGGATTCTTCTAGAGCAAAGACTTTTGAAGTAGAACTTGGCAGGTTGTTTGCCATTGGCCCAATAGCTCAGAATTCAAGTCTATTTAAAGTAGGGATGTCAAAATTTTTGTTCTAGTTCACTTAGAGAAGTGTCAGGACAGCTGTGTTTTTAAAGCTTATTTAAAATAAATTGGAAAAGAGGAGTAGATTATTGTTTTAATAACTATCGAACTTTCAAAACTTCATGGCTATGCTGTGTTCCTATAGCATAATTTAAACATTCTTAGAGGTAATAAATAAATTTATAATTGGTACAAGTCCAATTAATAATTTTCAAAGTCCAGTAAAGCACTGCATAATTTACCACAATAACAAAAAAGGTCAGTAATTGAGAAATAATCATGGCGGTATTTAATTACTGTACTTTCCAGTTGTACAGTGTGGAAATTTATTTATATACTGTGACTGTGTTTAAGCTCTTATTCATCTGAGAACGGATGCTATAATGGTTTTAGGAATGACGCTATACAGTTTTGAGTTTAGAATTCCTTTACACCTCATTTTTTGCATTTATTAAATATTCAAATGTTGTTTCATTATTCAATCGTCGGTCCATTCGACTATTCGTTGACATCCCTAATTAAAAGGAATTACATTTTTTGACTCTTGTTCTATTACAAGTGAAATTATTCTTTTTAGTATTGAGTTATTCTTTTAATAGCTTAGTAAAAGTTGTATAAACTAAGTTGATAAGATTAAATCTTTGTCATAGATATGATTGCCACACTTGGTGAAACTACAGGAACATGGGCTCTTCGTTCTATCAAACAGAAAATGGAGGCAGATCCAACTGGTCAAAGGATTCTTCAGTAAGCATATCCCAGTCTGGTCTGCTGCATTTTTCTCCTCTCCCGTTACACACCGATGATCCTGTGTATCATAATACCACTCAGTAAACTTTATCTTGACATTGTTTTTCTATGTCATGAAATCTTGTCAAGTCTCAATTATGATACCGTAACACCCGAGATGTCTGGACATTTTCCAACGTCCCTTCCATGTTTAGATACCAAGTTTGTTCTTTCAAACAGTCCACTGTTCTAATAATTTTTATGAATTTACAGTCATTCCGACCCCAAACCATAAACAGGCTTAAGTTAGAATTTCAAACCAATATAATTATTTTAAATGATAATTTTTATATATTGGTAATGAAAAAAGAATCGAGTATATAATTTCAATGAATTTTTCCTGATCATAGTGACAATATATTAATTAAATCAACCATTTTCACCGAAAAGTACAGAAGAAAAACAAAATCCATAAAATACAATTCCTTTTGTCACCAATACCAGTATTCCTTTCAGTTGACATGAAATTTTTAAAGTTATGAAATGCCATTTATCTATTTCAGGGAACAGCCACTCATTAATACAAACACAGTATCCATTGACTACCTTGGGAGTTTACCTGAGGGAACTTTTGGGAAAAAATATTGGCATTTCCTCAGCAAAAATGTAAGTTTACTACTAACAAAACACTTTACCATACCAGATTTTCAAATCAATATAATTCTTTTGCTAAAAATGATATTTTACATTTATATCTTGTAGGGTTTTTCTCCAGATGCTAGATTACCGATTCATTTTGTGGATGACCCAGAGCTGAAGTATGTCATGTTAAGATATCGACAGGTTCATGACCTCTTCCACTCCATTCTAGGGATGCCCCCTCATATGCTTGGAGAAGTGGCAGTCAAGTGGGTGGAAGCCCTACAGACCGGCCTACCCATGTGTGTTCTGGGAGCTTTGTTTGGGCCACTCAGATTAGGTCCAAAGTAAGTCTACATTGTACAAGGTCATGCTCTTGAAGACTATTGTATACAATGTTATTTTCGCACTTCACAGTTGCAAACAATTTGGCCCCTTTTAAATTCGCCCAGTCTCAATTCTGATAAAGAAATCATACTGTGTTTTTAGCTCACCTGAGCCGAAGGCTCAAGTGAGCTTTTCTGATCACATTTTGTCCGGCGTATGTCTGTCTGTCCGTCTGTAAACTTTTCACATTTTCGACTTCTTCTCAAGAACCGCTGGGCCAGTTTCAACCAAACTTGCCACAAAGCATCCTTGGGTAAAGGGAATTCAAGTTTGTTCAAATGAAGGGCCATGCCCTCATTCAAGGGGAGATAATTGGGAATTAATGAAAATTTGGTGGCATGTTTTAAAAATCTTCTTCTCAAGAACCACTGTGCCAGGAAAGATGACACTTATAGGGAAACATCCTCAGGTAGTGTAGATTCAAGTTTGTTCAAATTGTGACCCCCGGGGGTAGGGCGGGGCCATAATGGCCGACCAAAGTTTTACATAGAAATATACAGGAAAATTCTTTAAAAATCTTCTTCTCAAGAATAACAAAGCCACAATTGATCATATTTATATGGAAGCATCCTCAGGTAATGTAGAATCAAGTTTGTTCAAATCATGACCCTCTTGGGTAGGGCGGGGCCACAATGGCCAACCAAAGTTTTACATAGAAATATATAGGAAAATTCTTTAAAAAATCTTCTTCTCAAGAAAAGCAAGTCCATTTTTGATCATATTTATATGGAAGCATCCTCAGGTAGTGTAGATTCAAATTTGTTCAAATCATGACCCCCGGGGGTAGGGAGGGGCCAAAATGGCCGACCAAAGTTTTACATAGAAATATATAGGAAAATTCTTTAAAAATCTTCTTCTCAAGAATAACAAAGCCATAATTGATCATATTTATATGGAAGCATCCTCAGGTAGTGTCAATTCAAGTTTGTTCAAATCATGATCCCCAGGGGTAGGGCGGGGCCACAATGGCCGACCAAAGTTTTACATAGAAATATTTATGAAAATTCTTTAAAAATTTTCTTCTCAAGAATAGCAAAGCCATGATTGGTCATGGGCCTACTTTTGGATTTAAGCTTTTCAATAATAAACAAATTCTACTTTTTCCAAGCCACAGTGCTCAGGTGAGCAATGTGGCCCATGGGCCTCTTGTTTTTATTAATTCGCCCCATTTTAAATTGGCCCACCTGTGAGTAGGATGAAAGGGGTGAAAATAAAATGGGTAAAAAATTTCCGTGTACAGTAAAACTCATTTAGTACGAACATGAATAGTGCGAATTCACGGATATAGTGAAGTTATCTTGTATCCCCAACTACACAAATTTAACAAATTCCTTGTACTGATATAAAGAATTACGGACATAGCGAAGTAATTTCACAGGTCCCAGTGACTTCGTTATAACCAAGTTTTACTGTATACAGTACTGTGGTTTCATTAATTCTTGTTGTCATCAATTTTTTGTGGATTTTGTAAAACAGATGTTTTCGAGGATATGTAATTTCGTGGAAGAAAGCATTGTCTATACAAATGAATAACACATTTCTCAATTCAATGAACATTAAATTTCGTGGATCTGCTCAACAACCAATTCCTCGAAAATTGGTGAATATTAATGAAACCACAGTATTCCTTCAACTTAAACAGAATGTGAATTATTTCCCATACTACATGTGTTATACATTAAATATGTTACTTTTTTAGGCACACAAAGAAATATCTTGATACTTACCTCCCTTGGGCAATAAGAAATGGGCAGAATGCCAAGTTCCTGATGGCGGTTTACTGGGAGGAGCACTGGGAAGATAATCTGGAGGAATTCCGACAGCAGCTAAATATAGAACCTCCTCCAATAACCGCCACAAACAACCCTTAAAAATGTCGCCAGCAGCTAAATATAGAACCCCCTCCAATAACCGCCACAAACAACCCTTAAAAATGTCACCAGCAGCTAAATATAGAACCCCCTCCAATAACCGCCACAAACAACCCTTAAAAATGTCACCAGCAGCTAAATATAGAACCCCCTCCAATAACCGCCACAAACAACCCTTAAAAATGTCGCCAGCAGCTAAATATAGAACCCCCTCCGATAACCGCCACAAACAACCCTTAAAAATGTCGCCAGCAGCTAAATATAGAACCCCCTCCAATAACCGCCACAAACAACCCTTAAAAATGTCGCCAGCAGCTAAATATAGAACCCCCTCCAATAACCGCCACAAACAACCCTTAAAAATGTCACCAGCAGCTAAATATAGAACCCCCTCCAATAATCACCACAAACAACCCTTAAAAATGTCACCAGCAGCTAAATATAGAACCCCCTCCAATAACCGCCACAAACAACCCTTAAAAATGTCGCCAGTGTTGATAAATAAAGGCCTGAAGTTACAAATTACAGCCAACAGAAAACTTTTCCCACATTAATCAATCATAGACTGTTAAGATGAATGAAATGGATGGAAGAATACAGATGGAGAGCTTTTTTTATGCAACTTGTATAAATGATTATACCAATAGTACCAAATTTCTTGTAAAAATAGAGAACTTCTCTAAGTTGTGAGTACAACTTTAAAATCAAGATTCAAAGACTTTTTATCTCAGATTTCATTAAATGGTATGCATTGATACAAAATATTCATATTAAGTCTATAGGATTACATGTATTAATATTTTGGTTTTGACTAATTTGCAGAAAATATTGTTCTTATTTGATTTTCATACAAAATAAATTCTGGTATTTATTTCTCTTGCGTAAATAATAAACTACAAGTTATCAATATATTTTTTTTTTGTTTATTTGCTAAAAAAAAAAAAGATTATATTCTAATTAAAATAATCTTTTAGTTGAAGGAATGGAAGTGAGAAAAATATCTTTCAGCAGTAAAACTAGGGTGGGGGTTAATATTGATACAAACACTTCTGTTCTTATAATGTCCCCAAGAGGTATACAGTATGAGTACTTGTAAACAGGTATGTACAGCAGCATCGTTTTGGAAAGTGGGGGAGGGGGCAGCCAGAGAAAAATTTCAACTTAAAACTTCACAGGCAAATAAATGGGGGAATAGTCTAAGCTCACAAATCCTATTTTGAGGGGGGTGGTAGGTAGCTTTCAACTTCTTTCTGTGCCATATTTTATACATATATGAACTACATTTCCATTATTGGACAATACTGCAACAAAAAGCGGAAGGGGGGGAAGCAACCAGCCTTTCAATGAACAATTTCAATAGTCAAGGTTCTGTTTGGAAAAAGGGGGCTGCCCCTCTCTGCCTTAATGCTACATGCCTGTAAGTAAATACATTGTTCAATCAAAATACGCTTCTGACAAGAGAAATATTTATAAACATTATTTTCTTCTTGATATTTTTTTTTATTTAATGTACAACATCAAAACCATGATAGTTTAGGTGCAACATATGATGCATGTAAAGCTTAAACACCAGAAATGATACAATTAATACATTTGCCATTTTTGGTGCCTTTTTAACAGAATTTTTTTCTAAAATAAAATGAGTCTCTGGAGGCAGAATATGGTTTGTAAGTGATTAAAGCCAATACTACTAGTTTTTATAATGAAAGAGTTTTTCATATATCAAACATCAAAAATGTAGGTAACATATTTGCTACAAAATATAAAGTATGACACAAAGTATAGAAATACTTCACATGAATTTACATCTTGAAATCTGTTGAAATTACATGTTCAACTGAAATTACTTCAACCTTGTAAAGACATGATATATTTTTTGTCTAAATTAAGAAAAAAATGAAATAATAAATGAAAAAAGGTTGAAGCATAAGAATCCACTTGTCTGTAGGTCATACCTACTACACATGTACATCTGTATTTGTTATATTTGAACAACAGTTTCTAATGCTCAAACACGTCAATCAAGCTGCCTCTTTACTCTTTATGTGGTTAAACAAGCCTGTATTTCATCACCTCTGTCTGTTCTGAGCCGCTTCTTTGCGTGCTGCGTCTTGTAGCAGCTGAGTGTCGCATTCATCTGCTGGGAGCTGAACATATCGCACAACAGACCCACGAATAAAACAGTTCTTCACAGATAACTGAAAAAAGCAGAATTTTTTTTCTTTATTTACATGTTGCTATATTATACCAGAGAATCGATCTTCTTTTCAAACAAAATATTATTTGTAAAACAGGTGTAAAATTCTTTTTAATTTATTTAATTTTTTTTATTAATGAAAGTTTCAAAAATATTTGCATTTTTGGCTTTCATGAAATAATTTAAAAAAAAGAGCAATACTCATGTCACACATGACTCACCATATGAGGGTATTTGTCTGGATCTGTTACTGTGATGTCTGTCAGCTTTATGTTTAGAAACTGATCCACTGAATGCAGGGTTCCACAAATACTGAAAGATCACAGTGTTAACATGAAAAACAGTCACTTACTTTGAAGATTTTGATATTTTAGCTGCCAGGAAAACATCAGAACCAGTGCCATAAGGAAAACTGGGAAATTCTCGAGCTGATTTTAGATACTTGCGAACCGAATTAAATTTCAACGTCACAAGTTATCAATAGTACAATACTTTTAGTACTTGGCAAAAGCATTTCTATGGTTCTTTAATGAAATATACAATCCGTAGAAAAGATTTTATCACATTGTCATTTCGAGTATTTTAAAATCTTGCAAGTCCTGTAACAAAATGTGGAGTGATATTTTCTTTTCATCGATATTGTTGAGTACTAAGAGCCATTGTGCTTTTGATTAATCCTATTGAGTTCGGTTCGCAAGTATTTAAAATTAGGCCATAATAAATAAATAGCTAGATTCTCATCCGAATTTTTTTAAAAATCAAGGCGGGCGGGCGGCTTTTATTTTATATTTTTTATTTTTTCAATTTTGCAGATTTTTTATTGACCTGGTCAATCGATGTAATTTTATCTAAAATACCCGATTAAAAGTCATAGTAAAGGTTTAATTATCTCTTACTTCACATCATCACCGATCTTTTTCAACCAATGACCCTTATTTATAATATATACGCATGTATTACAGCAATAACCATCTTTTCAGCTGTCAAAATCATGTCGACTTTCGCGAGATTTAAAACGAAAGTAGAATGGTAGATGAATACCGATCCCGATCAGAATTAAGACGAAGAAAAACAGAAATAAAAAAAATCGAGGCGGGGGTATAAAATCGGGGCGGGCGGGGATGAGAATCTAGGAATATTTTTATTATGGCCTTAACTCCAGTTGAAGACAGCAAAATTCCCAGTTTTCATAATGGCGCCGGTTCTAACATTTTCCTGGCACCTAAAATATCAAAATCGTAGAAAAGCCTGGAAAAAGTCAGATATTTCAGACTACTGTTTGAATTTTGATGTGCCTATTGAAAACAAATTACACAGTCACTTAGCCAAATCGCTGCTAATTTGAAAAGTGCAGCTACCTGTGTACTTCAGTGTACACATTCATTTGTATAATGATTATCAAATTATTAGCATATTAACTTACCTCAGATCATTCTTTAATTCAACTACAACATCCTTCCCAACTAGTGATTTAAAAAAGGAATAGAAAAGCTACAATATAACAAAAAAGTTTACTTGTCATACATTTGTAAAAGTCTCAAAATAAGTATTCAATGGCTTTTATCAGGAACGTATTAAGGAGATATGCAACATATATATAGTGATATGCACAAAATTTACAAAATCTACAAAATACTTTTTCCGTTCATAGTTTTCAAAGATATTCTCAATTTTAAATGCTAGTACCATAGATGTTCTTACAGTAGAAACCAACATATATACTAGTAACCACTGGTCCAGAAGTTTTAACCAGATATAAAATGAATATAATGTTAGTATTCCTTGAAGGTAAATTAATATAAATGTAGTTTTAGCTGGTACATGTATTTTCAAAATCATTGATCATTGACAGGTCCAGTACAATCACTAGATTTAGCTACTTAGCTTATTTACCTAACTCAGGTAGCTTTATTTAGCTATTTCAATGCAACTTTTCAAAATTTTTCTCTTTATTAAAGAGACAAAAAATCGCAAGTAAATGACTATTAATATTTATACTATGGCGTTTTTAAAAAACAGAGATAGTTTATACATTGCTGCGTTTGGACAATTTAGAGAACAACACGTAATTTCATTGTTTGAGTAACTGTTCTAACTGTGCGGTGAGGCATGAATGAGTATGATAACTTCACATTGTGGTGAATAATTACCACCCTATCATCATGTTAACCAGAACTGGACTTCTTTGTTGTTTCATTCAAGGAGCAACTGTTTTAACTTTCATACAAAGTCCCAAAACTTGAAGAACTTTGATTGCAATTGCACAGAAAAAGACATTTCTTCAAGAGTGATTTTTACATGAATTATTTTCAGATGAGTTCAAAGTTGAAAATGATCACTGCATCAAAATGAGATTTTCTGCATATCCTGAGAAAAATGCTTTTTTTTTTTTAAAGAAATAGATTGATTTGGTAGCTAAATAAACCTACCTCAGGTACGGTCCTACTAAACAGATATGCTAGTACGATAGAGTACTTTTGGTGTACACTAGTAAAATTTTATAATATAATGCAATTAAACTGTTTTTATATGTTTTTCTAGATTGGTTTAAAATTATAAATATATATTTAAAAAAATTTTTTTTTGCTTATTTTGCTTATTTTACATGTTTTAGAAGCTATTTTAATTTTTGATTTCAGGTTATGGTTTATCATTTGATCCCAGTCCCAATCTAATTTAACTTCAAATGTTTCATTGTTAATGTGAAAAATATTTTAAATTTTACAAAATGCAATTAATTTAATTTTTGACAAATAAAATTTAGTTGAAATTAATAAGTCTGAAACAAAATAGTAATCGAGATTGGGGTATTAATAACCTTTAATGCATTGAATCATGAATGTTGCTTTTTTGTCAAAATATCGCTACAACCTCAAATATTTGAGACAAATATTGCAATATAATTTTATAATACTGTTTAATCAAGTTGTATATACATAAATAAACAGTCTAATTATATCAAATTACACAATTTTTCTAGCGTACTCTGAAGTACTTTATCAGAGACATATAAAACCATATATATGTCTCTGACTTTATTGTACTCTGTCTATTTGTTCCCCCTCAGGTAGTTAAATAAAGCTAAGTAGGTAAATCAAACTATGTAGCTAAATCTAGTGATTGTACTGGACCTGGTTGATAGTAGGTGTAAAGACTACAGTAAACCAGGCATCATAAAGTCACAAAAAGGTCCTTCACTGATTTGAACTTTTAAATTAAACAGGAAATATTAAATTTAAGTTCAAGACTATGTTGTGTATGTCCTTAACGTTCCTGGTTTCATTTTTTTCTTCGCATGCAAAACAACAGAGAAAATTCAAACTGATTTTCAATTGATTCGGTAATTGTTTATAAAATAGATATGTCAAAACATACAGTTCATCATATGACTTTACTCATCTTCATCGAATTCACAAAACTGACTAAAGCAAGAAAATATATGCTCTTTTTTACCATTTTGCGTGCAGCACCGGCTCTTTAAGTTATACATCAACTCTCTCTCAAAATTATTCGTACCATCGACGAACAAAACATATCGTACAGTACTATGTCGGGTTTATTAGGTTAGGTTGTTGTTTCCGAAATTGAAAAAGACCTGGGGATAGACCAAAACTTTGGGATACCGTATTCAAAATCCCATACATACAGGCATTTTCTCGAAAGTTTTATTTTCATTGTTTTATGTGCCATTATCTAATTATATCTTTAGTACAGCGAGTATGCGAGCGGATCAAACAACTAATTTCAACAAGTAGAGCTTTTTTAAAAAGCTTCCCGTCTTTAGCAACAATCTTAAACTGTAAACTGATCTACACCTATCAGGCCGTATAATTCTTTTGAATTTCTTGATTTTGTATTTCTACATTAGCTTTTTACTGGCAAAATTAGCTCTACCACGGTTGTCGCTCGGTCATCTCCGTAAACTTTGACTCGCCGAGAGCTTTCGGCAAACCTCGGCTGATTCCATTTCCTTCTTCAAACAAGAAAGGGGAAAAGAATAATAACAAATTGTAAAGCCTGCAAGCAATAAAAATCAAATTTTATTTATAATGAAGTTTGCTATACAAAAAATCATGTTATTAGGAATTAATTACTCTTGATTTTATTGTTCGTTTTGTCATTTTTTTTTTAAGATTGAAAATCTTGAAAACTTGTTAAGTCGTACGAAAATTAGATCATCAGAAAGTTATCTCCCTTGCCTTGAACAGCTTTTCAACCAATGAAATAATTGAAAATTTTCTCATCATGCATTTTCTACCAATCACAAAAGAGAGGAAGTGCATAGTCCGAAGACTGTAAAAAAACTTCAACTATACAATACCGTCTTCCAAGGAAGACGGTAATTAGATTGCTTGTGTGCATAAATAAATAAATAAAATATAGTTGTGCAAATTAAATGTGGATTTTCGAAGAACTTTTGAGTTTGACCCTTCTTTGATAAGACTTGAATCCCCTTTACCTTAAGATGCTTTGAGGCAAGTTTGGTTGAATAGTTTATTGAGTTACACACGGACAGACCGACGGACAAAATGTAATCAGAAAAGATCCCTTGAGCATTAAGCTAAGGTAAGCTAAACAACGGGGGCTCGACATCTCAAGCAAATTAAATAACATACTTCCCCCATACGGCCTTTCTACACTTTATGCAACCATTCCTCCAGTACTGATATTTATATATCGTCTGAATACTAGTCATCAACAAAAAAAAAAATACGTTGTTAAAAACTGGTTATTTGCAAATACAAAAAATATGTTTATTAATATAATCCAAGTTTAAAATGTTCAAATGAAATATCAGTTCTAAACCCTAGAGGTTTACAGTATTGGTGCACAATTAGTACTCATGGAAATTCCAAAAGGATTATTGGATGACCAAATCTAATTGAGGAACTACATAGATACTGTCAATTAGAAACTAAATCTCCTTTTAAAATATCAACTCCAGAGTATTGTGTGATCAAAAAAATTAACAAAACAATTTTGTAAATAATCAAATTTACGAGTTCCATTTTCATTTTTTAAAAAAGTTGTCAATAATCCTGGACTTTAATTTTATCATGGGATGGTTTGTACAGTGTATAATAAAGTGTCGACAAGTCGTTGGTTTTGGTGCATAGAATTTCTTGTACTGTTATATGTACTGTCTCTGATCTGATAATCCGTTGATAACATTCTGATATAAATCAAAGAATAATGACCGAGGAAGATCAGTAGGAAGCAGTTTCAGTTGAAGGGGCAAATAGTTCAATGTGAAGATGGAGTACTACCAAAATTTATTGACAAACAAAAAGATTAGGTCATTAGTGACCCCTGCCCCCTGTTCTTACGGACATGGTACATGTAGTTCTTACGGACATATGGTGCATGTAGAACAGTTAATAATTGAAACAATTTTTCAAATGATTCAATTCTTTTAAGTCTGTTACACGTTCTACGATATTATTAAATAATAATACTAAGCAACCAACAGTAAATTTTACTGTTGGTTGCTTAGTATGGAAATCATGCAGTGCCAAAACGAAATAAAAACAGTGTCATCAACTTAAATCCAGAAAGACATTCCTTTCACCTAAGCCAGATATTGCCTTAAAAGGGTACTATTTTGGTGAGAAATGGTGGATTCTTATTTGAAGCTATTATTTTCAAATATATAAATATTGCATGTAGTTGAGTGTAACATGGAAATTTTTCACCCCAAGAAAACCGAGTCGCATCTGAGGTTGACAATGCATGGTTTTTCGAAGGGTGAAAATTTTCAAAGTTACACACAGCTACATGCAATATTTATTATATTATATTGAATGTTTTATGCAAAAACATATTACAGTGAACCTTGCGCACAAAAATTCTGCGCTATCAACATTTTTTGGAATATCACCCGTCGTCAAGCAGTTGAATGTTGTTACGCTGGAGGGCGTGGCTTCATTTTTCAGCGGTTAATACAGTTAGTGTTTCTTAAACAATTTTTTTATGTTTCTCGACGAATCAGATTCAACCAATTTACAAGAAAGTATAATATTAGTAAATAAAATCTAGCAACACTACACATGAATAAGGAAAAACAGTATATTTCAAAAGTTAGGTTCGATTTAAAAAGATGGGATCTCCCTTTCCCAGGACAATTGAATCAATAAAACGGTAGGACTTGTGTTAATTACATTTATTTTTATCTTAAATAAAAGTAGAATTACCAGTAATTAAAGGAAACAAGTCAATCACCGAATTATGTAACCCTGATTAATAATTCTTCTTTTCATTTGTATTATATGTGTACTTTAATTGGTAACGAATCAATGCTTAGCGCGTTTCCTTCGCTCAATAGGAGGTGTTTACCTTATACCCCGGGTATATAAACTTTATCAGCCGCATCACCCCATAGTCACATCAATCATTTAAAATCATCTACTAATGACTTCTTAAACAATCTGTGCTAAAATCTTGTAAATATAGAGAAACATGATTTCACAAAACAGTATATCTGTTTCTAAATAAGAAAAAATGAATAGATATTTGGTTGTATGAACAAGTCCCACCTTTTGACCTTGAAATTTAATTGACCTCAAAATCTGTTGGTGTCTATAAGAAAATGGTTAAAAATATATTCAAATTTGTCTGTCACACACAAGTACTTCTTCGTGCTACCTCTTCTATGTTGTTTGATGAAGACTTTATCATAATCATCTCGGCACCCGTATCTCAGAAATTAGCTGCACAACTAGACAGAATGGAGAGCCTTCTTTTCCATACTGCCACCTGAAAATATTACCTCCAGCACCTCTGATGTTTTGGAGGTCCGTGTTTTCTCTGCTCCTATTTTGTATTGTTTGATGGACTTGTGATCTTGAATACTGTTTGTTATCTCCTTATGTTTCATTGTTCCTAACATATCTCTTATATTTTTATGCCCGCGTAATCAAAGATTCGGGGATATTTAGTTTTTTCCGTGTCCGTCCGTCTGTCTAGCTGTTGGTCTGCAAAACTTTAACCTTGTCAATAACTTTTGACTGGGTGGGGCTATGACTTTCACATTTGTATTCCTTGTGACAAGACCATTCTTAAATTTGACCTGTTGACCTTGACTTTGGAGTTTGACACAGTTGTACACAAAAATTTCAAACTTTTACTTTGGCCATAACTTTTGAACGGTAGATACTAGGACTTTTATACTTCATACATTTATTTTTTGAAACAAGACCTTTAATGCATTTAATACCAACAACTTTGACCTTGACCTTGGAGATTTACGCACTTAAAAAAACTTCAACCTCAGCCATAACTTTTGAATTGTTAGGGCTAGGGCTTTCATACTTCACATATATAATCCTTGTGACAAGATCTTTTAATGGATACCAATAACTTTGACCATTTGACTTTGACCTGGAGTTTGACCCACCTTTCAAAAACTTATCGTTGGCTATACATTTTGAACAGATAATGCTAGGGCTTTCATATTTCACAATTGTATTTCTTAAGAGAAGACTATGGAACGCCGTCACTGCCTAATAGCAGAACACTACTTTTGCATTGTGTCAACCTTCCATTACATTATGTCAACTCTTCATGACATTAACCAACACTATTATTGCATTGTGTCAACCTTCCATTACATTATGTCAACTCTTTATGACATTAACCCACACTACTATTGCATTGTGTCAAACTTCCATTACATTATGTCAACTATTTATGACATTAACCCACACTACTATTGTATTGTGTCAACCTTCCATTACATTATGTCAACTCTTTATGACATTTACACATACTACAATTATATTTCGTCAACTTGCATTTCGTTATGTTTACTTTTCATGACATCTTAGTTTTCATTAACCGATGTGAAAAGCTCATGTCATACAGTGCGCACTCTTCTACATTATGTTGATTCACTATTACGTTATGCGAACACGGGTATCCTCGGCCTTTATATGAGCATAACGTATTTTCCGCGTTCCGCAAGCACTAAAATTGGCGGGAGAGAAAACTGTCGTAGAAGAGATTTTCAGCGATTTGGGAATGACATCTTTAAATGAAAACTTGAATCGACAAATGATTGACAATCTAGAAACGTGCATAGCCTTAACACTGCGACTGTGAATCAAAGTCACGTCGAAATTCAATGTTGTTTACTTTAATCTTATAATTAAATAAATCAAATATTATGAGTTGTGCAGCAATATTTTTTTTTTCTTTTTATTTTGATTTTTTTTTTATATAAGAGTCTTAAACTTCGTTGGACATTGCAATAGTTTCACATTAAGTTTAGCTGAATTAAGTTGAAAACTTTTTTCTGTAAAACTATAAAGCCTGAGAGCTTCTCCACTTTCCGCCCTTTGTCTCCAACCATATACCGTCCCCCTTCCTTGTTCAAGATTCCCATATCCGCCACTGATATGTGCCCATGCATGCTTACTAAGGCACATTCAATTGATTTATATGAGCGACTGGTAGATTTTTGTACTAGAATTTTGTCCCTGGAATGGTTAAAAAATTACTAACTCCAGTGACGTAGCATCTTTTTTTGAAAGAGGAGGTCAGTCAGAAAAAAAAATTATAAGTAGCGGCCGCCAAATAATAAGTGGCGGCCGCCAGATAAAATATTTTTCGTACGTGGCACCAACGGGCTTCCGTATAATAGTGCTTTGATATAAAAGAAATATACACTCTCAAAAAGGAATGGGCTTTTGACTTCATGTAATATATGATAAGTTTCATTATAAAACACAATTTACTTGACGTAATGCAATTTCGACCTCTTATATAAAAGAAATGAAATGATGCAAAGAAACATTCATTCCACGTAATAAAGTTTTAAAACAATGTAAACAAATTATCACTTCACATAATGAATTTTTTACTTCAAGTTATGAAGTGCTGACATAATGAAAGGAAATTCATGTAATGCATTGATGTTTAAGATATATTTACATCATCTCATAAAAAATGGACATAACGTAAAGATATGTTCACATCACGTAATGATAAATTGACATAATAAATGCATAGTTGTATGCTATAAGGCAGTGATGGCGTTCCATAGAAGACCTTACTTTGGATACCAACATATTTAATTTGCAATTTAAGAAAAGTTTCATAATTGCTATGTTGTCATACGGGGGCATCAGTGTTTCACAGACACATCTTGTTTTACTATTTTTTATCCTCAATACAGGGCTTTTGTTCAGATGTGGTAAGAATTCTAAGAAATTAGTACCGAACTGAGCACAATATGTTGTGTGCAATCAATTTACATTTTTTTCTACTGATAGCACTTGAGCTCTCTGATCATCAACCATATTTTTTAGAGCAGCGAGCAGATCTGCAGCTATTCGGAAATTAGCATTGATCTTTTGACTTTGACCTTTGTTGAAGAAGCATGACCAATTTCTCCTGACAAGCATATAAAATATCACAATTGCAAAATTGTGTCATGATCATAGAAATATAGATGTAATACTGTATACAGGGAAATTTTCGCCCCCGTTTAATTTTCGCCCCTTTCGCCCTACTCTCATTTGGGCGATTTAAAACGGGGCGAATTCAAAGAATATAATATAATTTCTTAAACAAAACTATGATTGGGCGAATATAAAACGGGGCAAAATTGTTTGGAAGTGTGAAAGGGCGAAAAGAAGACGGGGCGAAAATAAGCCTGTATACAGTATTATTTTTTTTTTTTACCCAAAAGCACAATAACAAAATCAGGTGGTGCCAACCTGTAATTAATGCTTAACCGATTAAGAAAAAAAGGGGGTGGTCTTGAGTTCCAGCGTAATGAATTATGTAGGGAAAACATCTAGTATATCTCATCTTATTGACACTTTACCGCATACAAGTTACTACTCAACAATGGCCCAGAATTGGACGGAGAACGAGTTTTAAACAAGGTACAATTTGAAAGTTCTACATCCATCCTCTTTAACAGAAATGAAAAACATTGATTATATCTTAAACACAATTCAGCACAGTGTCGGATGTTGAAAACACTAAAGGTTGCTATTAGGTTGGCTGGATCGGAATAAGTCTTGTCTTTAACTGTGAGAATAAAGAATCCATTTCGTTGATTAGGAAATGCAGAACTTGTCCTTGTGCATTGAGACGTAGCAGCTGTGGTGGCAGACGGAGGCTGTGTCGTGTCTGCGACAGGGCAACCCGCCGATGGGGTAGGGAGACCTAGAAATAATATAAAAATATCTTCTTATGGCTTAGCTGCAATAATGTAGCCCTTTCAATTTTTATGAACCCGTATTCGGAGATTCAGGGATATATAGTTTTTGCCCTGTCCGTCTGTCTGTCTGTCCACAAAAACTTTTACCTTACCCATGCATTTTGAATGGATTGGGCTATGACTTTCATATTTCACAAGTGTATTTCTTGTGATAAAACCTTTCTTAGGGTACCACCAAATTTGATCTCTTGACCTTAGAATTTGATCCTCTTTCACCAAAAATTACCAAATTTTGATTGCAGCCATAACTTTTGAACAGTAGGTGCTTTGGCTTTCAAAATATACACGCATATTCATTGTGAAAAGACTTCAATGGGTATAAATATTTTTGTTTTTACCTTTTTACCGTGACCTTAGAGTTTGACCTACTTAAAAAACTCTAACCTTTTCCATAACGTTTTAGCAGTTAGAACAAGGGCTTTCAAACTTCACATGTGTATTCCTTCTGACAAGACCTTCCTTTAGATATACCAACAATTTTGAACATTTTCAGCGTTTGACTTGCACTTGCGAAAAACTTCAAACGTTGCTATTAGCTGCTATACGGCTGCTACATGTATCTGGGGACATCCGTGTTCACGAACATGTTTTTTTTCTGTTAGAGAACGCTACATTATTGCAGCTACACGAGTACCTGTGATTTTGTTGTTCTGCAGTGAGTCATCAGTTCAGTATGTCTTGAGCCTTGAAAAAAATTCCCGAAAACTTATGCTTAAATGAGAATTTTGCTTACCTGATACTGAAGGGGGTGATTTGCATTGACTTTCAATATCTGTTACAGCACTTGCCGCATTTGTTGTAACGTCGTACATTGTGAAACATGTCACTTCTAATGATAACGCCATAGTCATGTCGTGCTTAGCTCCGATTCGAAAAGTCCCTGGCAGTCCCAAGATTTTAGAGCCATGAATATCAGAAACTAAAGCAGTATCGCCACTGTAGCTTGACATAAACTTCATCTCTGTATTATCAAAGTTTCTTCCTGCCTGCACCACAAACCATTGACCTTGAAACGTAGACGGCGATAGTGAAGCAGTTGATACTCCTGTTGATGATGTCACCTCCATCTGGAGTGAGGTACCATTAACACAGACACTGACGTCCGTGATGACGTTAGAACCCGTTGTCGTGGACTTGAAATGGAAAATGCATCCAACTGAACCAGCGATATTAACTGACAATGCGAAAGAAAACGATTTAAACTCGTTACTGTTGTCAATGTCAATGTCTATGTAAGGATATGTATAACCATTTAACTGTAGTGGGGGTCCCGCAAACGAAGGATGGTTACCCGCGAAGTGGAATCCACATTGAGTGTAGTCTCCAGCTTTGGAATTCTTTATTTCGTAGGTATATGTAGAATCAGTCAACGGCCAGACGTATTTTGCTGAACTGAAACTCAATGTTGGAACCACTAGAAAGAAAATTCAGTATGTTAGACAGGAACCTAGCATCGGGGCATGGTGGTTAAGGGCGGGATGTTTGTTGCTTTAACATTTTTTCAAACTTTACTTTTCTTTTTAATATCAAAAATGTTTATTTTCATAATATTTGGTTGTAAAAAAAAAATGAAACAGCACAACAAGCCCCCATCCCGAAGAAATATAATTTATTAAAAAACGATGCCATGTGCAAGTGAGATGAAATCTAATTGTGTTACTAAAACATAACTTTTATGCCCCCTGTAATAGAAGATTCATAGGTGTAGAGTTTTTGCGCTGACCGTCCGTCTGTCTAGTTGTCTCTCGAGTTGTCTGTGTTTAGCTGTTTCAGCCTGTTTGTACGTGTGTCCGCAAAAAGTTTAGCCTTGCCCATAACTGTTGATTGGTTGGACCTATGGCTTTCATTAATTTACAGGCCTTTTTCTTGTGATAAGACTTTTCTTTGGGTACCAATCTCTTAACCTTGCAGTTTGACCAACTTTTGAAAAAATATACCTAAATTTAACATTGGCTATAACTTTTGAACAGTTATAAAGTGGAAGGCTTTCTTACACCTATGTATTCATTTTGACAAGACCTTTCCTTGGATAAAGATTTTTAAATTATTTATTTACCTTGACCTTAGAATTTGACCCACTTTTAAACCAGCTTTGACTTTGACCCTAACTTTTAAATGGATAGTATTAGGGCTTCCATATTTCACAGGTTTATTCCTTGTGAGAAGAATTCAACCCAGGTACACTTACTTTTGACACGTTGACCTTCACCTTAGTTTGATCGAATTTTTGAAAACTCTAACCTTTGACATAATTTTTGAACGGTTATAGTATTTGGGCTTCATATTTCACCTGTATATATGGGTACATGTAATAACATTTTTGATCTCTTGACCTTGGACTTTGACTTACATTTGAGAAACATGACTTTTCTCCATAAAGTGCCATATACGGGGGATCTGTGTTTCACAAACTCATCTTATTCGGTATTTTTACATGAAAAAATAAACGAGGATCAAATTCTCCGTTTCTTTTAAACACATCACATTTTAATTTCAACACAAGGAGTGTTCTTCAATGATTTTATTTGATTACTTTTATTTGAATCGTATTATTCTTCACATACACAAATGACGTCGAGATATATGTACATGAAGCTGAATCACATGTCTTTAGTAACCATGATATAACTTGTTTGACGATTTTTTTGCTATTGGCATTCAAGAAAGATTTACCTTCAATCAATATTCCAAAGAAAACAAAACCGCAGATTTTCTTCATTTTCCAACCCAAGGTTTCCTGCAAATATGGGATAAAGTTAGGATATAGATTTAAAATACGGCAGAACTGTGGTTTAATCTAAATTTGAATGGTTTCAAATCCAGACTTTACAAAGAATCATTCCTATTAGATAATACTTTTGTAAGTTAAGATAAATGGATTCATCATTTTGCTCCTTATGTGCGAATAGTTTTTGAATGCCTCTCCTTAAAACGGTTAAATATTTAAATACTCGTATCTCTTGATCCTGAATTTGAGCTGTGGTATTCAAGTATTTTTTTTTTGCATCAAAAACTATTGACAATTGCTTTTGTGAACAAGCATTCTATATCAAAAATACCAATATTGAGCTTTTTATATTATAGTGACTGCACCATCGTCGCAAGCCATTGGATGAGTGTTTTATTACAAAGATGTGTATAATATCTCTGGGCATTTTTTTTTTTTTGACTCTCAGGAAAAGACACTTTCCTCAAACAGCCTCTGCTAACCGTTTCAACAGGGATCCGTGTTTCGCGAGAGATAATTAAGAGCTAATATCGACTTTTCAATGCTGAAACCATTGTTTAAAAAGGATGACTCAAAGAAATAGGTGTGGCATTCCACCTTAAAAACTCGCGCTTATTAAATACTTTGCTTTAGCCTTTTTATATTACTATGATTAAAGTTTTTATGTGAATCAAGATTTTTAAATAGTCTACATCGACAGTGAGGTTTAAGAATAAGTATGTCTGGAAACAAGAGGAAATCTGATAGATTGAGAAGGGGGGTAAAATAAATGAAATTAGGTTGACAGGGTTTGTTTTTCTTTTCTTCTTTTTTTTAAATTCATCAATAATCACGATAAGAACCTGTGATTTGAAATGAAAGGTCAAGCTGAATTGTAGATTTCGTTGAGAACAATACAACAGTACATTGACAACATCTGAGTTCTCATGGCTAGTATATAGGAAATAATAATTAGTAAATGGTTTAATTAGTACAGCACACAAAAAAGTCTTAGAAAGGTCTCGAAAAGGTCAGAGAGTGCCCATTTTTCTTAGGTTTTATTGACACTTCATCAATTCAAGGCCGCTTACACAAACGCAAACCCATGAATCGAGTTTCAAAGTTAATCTCAATTTAATTTAATCGATAATGGTTTTCATTCCGGAGATTCTAAATCTTGGTTCCCAGATATAGTCATACATGATGTAATCTAGCTCTGGTATCTACAGAAAATACGTCATTTTTGAAGGTTTAACTTCAGTACAACTTGTCTAATCTGGACACCAATTTGACCAAATTGGACAACATTCCGCACTGGACAATATTAAAACTATTGAATGAACTGAAAGGGACTTAAAGTTTACATTGTATATATTCTAGAAGATTTCAGAACACAAAACATCCAAATCAGACATGTTTTAACATTTCATGTTTCACTGTATATACTTATTTTAACATTTCATGTTGTCCAATATTGGCAAAATTGCCTTTCATGAAAACGTTTGGAAAACAAACTATGATCAAGCTCAAAAAAGAAGAAACCAGTACAAAAATATAGTTAACGAGGGAAAACCTATATTTAACGGTTGTTAACTACGGATGCCATGAAAGTTAACAATTGATTTTGTTGATAAACATAGATTCACGTCTGTAAATTATAATTTACGATCGTTAATAATAGATAAGAGTTGTTAACCATAGTTTACAAATCAGCTCTAATCCAAATTGTGCTTGGAAAGTTACTTAGCAGAAACGTTTTTTTAAACAAGGCTGTTGATACCATTTTTGTGAATTTGGCGTGCCATACATAGAAGTTGGGTTTATTTTTTCCTGCAATTTTAACTTATTTATCAGAAGCCTGCGCCTAATTTTACTATGAAAAAATTGACTAAAAATATTTCTATCAATGTCCATTGATAATAAATTAGTTTTTTTCAAATGAATCCTCTTTTCCTCGATATTTTTGATAAAAACAGACTTTCGTGAATGAGACAGCTAAGCCGTATGTGAATATGTCAGAATTGTTTTAAAATTATATCATTTTGTAAATTTACCGGATAGCACTGAACACAAAATTTGAAGTTTTCATATTAACATATTTAGATCTATTTTACTAGATTTATTAATTTGAGGCAGATATATTTATATTTGAAAGAAATAATAAATGAAATGATTTCTCGGCATATATTAGAGAGAGAAAAATATTGCTACTTGGAAAACAAAATTACTTAAGTTATTTCATTAATTATGTATCTTAGAATTGAGGCGTATCTTTACCTTGACAAGACAAAGAATTCGGCTTTCGTGAAAAGTCATTCCGATATCCAATTCTGTGAATGTCCAATGTACCTATTTGTTCAAATTCATCGATTGTCGTAACAAATATTAATATATAAAAATGAGATCATTTATCAAAATTGCATGTACCTAAAATATTCGAGAGTTTTAAAATGTTAAATTGTAAACGCAACAAATACTTTTTTTTTTTAATTAGTTTTACATGCACAATTAATAATAATTACTTGAATCGTAATTATGAGAAATTCCAACTCTTCATCTAAAAGCCATATCAAAAAAGAAAAATTACTTTAGTGAAATAAAAACAGTTTTCATTAATTTAAATTATTTTGTCATGTCAGAGAAAGAAGCTTACCAGTAGAGAAGTTCCAATAATTTACTTCCATTCTTTGTATAAGATAATAAATAAATACATCATTGAAATCATGACGTCTAAAGATTTGTTTTTCTTTTCACAATTCGTAAACGAATCCGAATTATTGGTATCAATTAATTATCAAAAAACAAATTCTGTTCTTTATACACACAGTACAGGAAATTAATGGACACATATCATGTATAAACCCCCATACAACACGATTTACTCGCTAACTCCTGGGACCACGTCAACGTTCTTCTAGAACCAATATCAATTGAATATCGATATGCAGACATTTTCCCGTCTATTAACAAAATCAGTTATAACTTAAGCCAATAAAGCAATATAAAGGAGGCACAGACTTTACGTAGATTTTCTTAATATTTTATATTTTTACTGGAATTATCTCTTCACTCTGCTTTGATTTCGATATAAAAGTATATTAGTATCTCTTCTGATGGTCTCTCAGGGGAGTGTAGATAGACACAATTATGCAAGCGCTCCCATATTCCAAGAAAGGGGGAAATTAAAAAGATATGCATTTATAAACTATTAAAAGATATGCATGTACTATTAATAGGGGAGAAAATAAAAGAAGATGAGACAAGAATAAGATTATAAAATTTTGAAAAAAAAAATCTATATAAAAGTCTTCTAGCCATTACAGTTTACGAGTATAAAATTTTACGCCTTGTAGTTTGAGATCGAACGATTCTGTGTTTTCGTGGAATTTCTGTATCCGAGATGGGTTTTATTTTTTAAAATATTTATAATTTAATAAGTCAAATTCTAAGAGGCATCAAGAGTTTAAGTGGAGCATTATCAGCATTAAATTTCTACATTTAGAAAAAAATTATTTAAAGAAAATCAAATTATTAGTTCGAATATTTAACAAAGCTGAGAATTGAGAAGTTGATAAAAACGAGGTCCCAAGTCGCATGCAGTAGGTGCTTGCACGGAAAGGATCCCTCATTACTGAATGGTCCCTGTATTCCGGGTATAGGTTTTAATTCGCCGCCTCCCAATGGCAAACGATGGCTTCTCCATATGTTCTGGAGAGGGGTGTTAAACAACAAACAAACAAATAAACAAAAATATGCATGTTAAAAGCAGAAAATGTTATCGCAAAAACAGAAAAGCAGTATGATTTTTCAAGGAAAAGGAGGAATTTTCTTTGGAAAACATTGTAGAATCGCGGACAAGTTAAACGGATTTCCCTTACTAACACTAGACAAGAGTTCATTAACCAAAGTTTCATTATAGCCTATTTAAATAATTTATGACATAGGTCACAGTAACTACTGAAGTAATTCTTTGTTTTAAGTCCTGGGGCGGATAGGTTTTCAGAAAATCCATTTAAAAACAAACACAGAAAAAAGAAACAAGAAAAAAGTCTTGAATAGGAAAAACAAATTCAAAAGAGTTCAAATGTTTGTAACATATTATTGCTGATGTATGTTTTATATAATATTTCCTTTCCATCGATAAATTTCTTCTATTGTTTTTGAAAGGTGTTTATTTATTTATTATACCCCCCGCTTGAAAAGTTGGAGGGTAAATAGTGATCGGGATGTCCGTCCGTTACGATTTGGGGTACCCATCCTTTCTCCGCAACTCCTCTTATACCGATGAATGAAATTTAATGAGACTTTCACCGATTCTTTGTTACACCTGCTACTAGTATTTTACTTTTTGATCTGACAATTAGGGTATATTCGGGTAATTCCGGACAAAACTCACGTAAGCGTCATTCGGTGGGAATAGCAGCGCGAAACTGATTGATGGGTAACCCAGTTTTGAATCGATGTGTGAATTCCATACATAATCCTCGATAAATAAATGTTTTAGATTGTTTTCCTTCAGGTCTTATTCAAATATTAGCAAAATAAAACGTATTGGCAGAGTGGGGTAAATCCGGACACAATGCGGGTAAATCCGGACAGGCCAATCTTGTAATTGTATGCGGCGTAAACGTGCAATGTCAAATAATAGCATATACAGTAAGTAATTAGATTATTTGTAAGATTTCAAAGATCCTCAGCTCTATTATATAAAGCATCTCAGTTGTTAATGCAGTTATATTCAGAGAGATTTAGTTATTAAATTTCTAAGTATCTTACATCTCGTTTATTACTTTTGGACTTCAGAATCTATGAGGACGACCATTTGTTTTTGATGAGAGGGGAGTTTGCATTTGACAATAAATAATCTGTCCTTTAAAAGAATAAAACTATATATTATCAAATGAGAATAACATAAATAATCCGACCCTGACTGATATGTCACTACCCCCCCCCCCCTTCCCCTTTACAAACACGCACATATGAAAAAAGCATTCTCGGAATTTTATTTAAATGAAAAATGTCACACAGTCATTAGTCTCGTTTTCCCCAGACTCTCGCTCTCGAGACTTTGCCCGAGACTTTGCTCGAGAGCGAGAGTCTGGGGTAAACGAGACTACACAGTCATATTTACTTTTAATATTTGATCTCACAAATGATATTTGAAGAATTGAGTTGGTGGACAACTCGTTGAAGTACAGAATCGTCCGAAATCCTGCAGCCTATGGAACATCACTGTTGTGGACCAACACGTTGATTCAGTACTACTGGGACCTCTTTAGGTTTTAATAACCATTTTGACCCTGGTACAATAGTAAACAAGTTAAATTGATGCAAAGCATCAAATCGGCCGCAAACAAAATTTAGCAGTAAAAAAAATTCTTTCACATGCAAGGAAAGCACGTCAAGATATTCAAAGGAGAAATGGTTGAATCTTTTTTTTCAGCTTATCTTCAAAGCAAAGTAATTTTTTTTTTTAAATTAATAAATAGACATTTTACCGCATTTGCTCATAAATAGATTCATCGACGTAAAAAAAAAATAAGTCAATGATGAATGATGAGAATTTATTGAAAATGATGATGTAGCCCTCTCAAGATAAACCACGTGCTGATACCCTGGATCTTTGTCACGTGATAATGCCCATGGCTTATGCAGAGTAGGCTCTGCTGCAAGCCGCAGTGCAAAATGTAGGGAATTAAATTATCTTTGCATCATTTGCAGCTTTAGAGCATATTCAAATCAATATTTTTACTGAGTTGAATATTCACCATGCACTTTTATCACGTCAACATTTTCCGGAATATCATGGCAATTTCCTTTCATATCTTACATACTCCCAGACCGGGGAGTTTCTATTGTACACTCTTTTTATATAACCATAAATTATCAATTATCTGACGAGAAATGATAATGAAATTGAAATATAATAACAACAATTAAAGCAAGTTTTTTTTTTAAAAATATTTTACTCATGATTTTTACTTTTTATCAATCAAGAATTATGACTATAATGAAAAATAACGTCTCATTTCCCCATGTGCACTTTCTAACTCAACCACAAATAGATCGGACGCTGCTGCGGCCGATAACAAAGACGATACTATTTTGGCATCTCATTCTGTCCGTTTTAAATATGCCTTCTTATATGGCCCGTCTAATAATGGCGTCGCATTACAATCATATGGATTGTTTTCTTCATGTTGGAGCTTATACCCTGCCCCCACTGCAGTCCCCAGTGGTGCATTCCGAATTTCCGACGGCCCATATTAAGTTGTGGATGACTAAAATTGGCATCTCTGCGGAAATGTAAAAAACTGAAATGGATAAGATGTAGGAAGAATTTATTATGTGTATGCGTGTCACTATGTGTAGATTTGAGTATTTCATAAGTATAATTTTTAAATAAATATTTAGAGCGTATTATGGGCACCTTATTTTGTACGTTGAAATTGTAAAAAATTATAGTATCATCACTCACTCTTAAAAAGAGCTGCTTTATAGGGGAAAAAGGGGGGGGGGAGAACAGAGTATTAAATATATTTGAGCTCTTCCACTTTATGACTGTCCCGTCATGTTACTATAGACTTGATTTACTCTTCGCCCAGCTCACATTTTGACCCCTGTTTTATTATTTTTTTTAGTAGATTGTAGATAACTGTAACGGACATCACCCACCCACACCTGCGCACACACGAATTGATGATTATGAAAGCTTTTAAAATTCTTTATCTGTGCCTGAAAATTTTAGTTTGAGAGCCCCCTCACACCGTTTCCCTAGCTGAAAAAAAAATACATACTCCGGTCTGTCAATAGGCTGATTTTTTTTTTTCGGAGAGCTACAGTACTGCAGCGACCCTTTTTCCCCAGTGCGTGACTCTGCATGAGTCTCTGTAGCATACAGCTTATAATACATTCTTGAAATTAATTTATTATGTATGATATTATGTAAACAACTCATTCAAAAGGCCTAGTTTAGAATTTCGTAATCTTATAGATTTAATGTAGGCCTAGATGAAAATAAATCACATAGAACTGCTAAAAGAACACAATATAACTATGTCCGCAATTACCCTCACTTAATTTTTTTTGGTAGGGTAAATCCGGACAATTTAATTTTTTTCATTTCAAGTTAAAATTTGGCATAAAAATTTAATGTCACATAAATTTTTTCGATGTTTAACTTCTTTCGAACTAAAACATTACAGTTATTTAAATATTTTCATTTAATACTTACTTGTTTCGTAGTTTTTTCACTCTGGTCTCTGGTTTAGGCAAGTTGAATATTCCCGCAAACCGACAACAACACCAAAACAGAAAGTGCAAAGGTCATTTTATTGACGTCATGCTAAATAATCGGGAATTCCCTTTGATTATAAATGAATATGATAGAAAAGAATAATGGTTTTATTTTCCGAAATGATACACACAATTCAGAGAAAATAAGACGATTTTCATTGACGATAACATAAAACAGAGGCATTTTATTTCTGTCCGGAATTACCCGCTGTCCGGAATTACCCGAATATACCCTATTTCGGGTCTCCCAGAACAAAACTTGGACTTTGCCATTATAATCATATGGGAGGCGGGGGTATCATTTAGTGAGCTCAGTGCTCACAGTACTACTAGTTTATTTAATTGATTGTTAGGGCTAGGAGGTTCCTTTTCAAAGAATTAAAAGACGTAAAGCAAAATTATTAATTACCTCGGCCTTACCGAC